ATAGCTTAATTCATAGTATTATTATAAGTAAATTATACTAATAGTAGGAGCTATAGCTAAGTAACCTAGTTTTTATTAATAAAATATTTAAGATATTACTTAAGTTCTTAATTAATTTACTCTATCTAACTATCTATCTATAAGTAAAAGGCTATAGATAGTTTTAATTTAATATAGTAATACTATATAAGATTATTCTAAAATTAGCTAGTAACTATTAGAGATAATACCTCTAGGGGGTTTATAATAGAGCTTAACTTTATAATAGAATAATTTAATAAGTTTAATAGCCTAGGTAGTATTAAAAATAGAGAGAAAAATACTTTATTTTATAAATTAATTTATAATAATAATAAGGATAGTATTAACCTCATATAATTTATATAAAATTAGAGATAATTTAGTAATAAAATCTATACTAAGTTCTTAGAAAGGAGCTTAAAAGATAGGTAAAGTATTTAAAATACTATATAGTTAGTAGTAAGGTACTATAGTTCCTTAATATATAAAGTATTCTTCTATATATTTAATAATATCTTTTATATAAGACTAATAAAATTTATATTTTAATAACTCCTTAGTCCTATTTTAACGAAAATATCCTAATATTAGACTATTATAATATATCTTAATTAGATATTAATAAAGTTATTAATTTAGGGGTATATAAATTTATAACTTATAGTATAATAACCCCTATAGACTAATAGTCTAATATTTCTAATCTAGTTAATTTTATTTAATACTCTACTTTTAATATTAGGTCTCGAGGTTATTACCTTAGGACTATAAAAGGATCTTCTATATATTTAATTATATTTTAGTAAATAGATTAGAAATAACTATAAATTAAATAACTATACATATAAAAACTTAACCTATATATAAGTCTTTCTATATAGCCTAATTAGCTATTTTAGTATTAGATTAGTTAAATCTTTATAAATTTTAGATACTAAGCCTAGGACTTTCTTATATAAATATCTTATCTAGCTTAAGCTAGGATTTTCTATAAATAATATCTAAAAGAGTTAAGGTTAATACCTTAGTAAAATAGCTTTAAATTAGGGCTAGTAATTCTACCTTAGGAGTCTATTTAAATAGTCTATAGTATTATTATAATGGATTATCTACTAGGTTACTCCTTCCTATTCTATACTTAATAATAAAATTAAATAGGGTTAAATAAAGATACTAATAGATTTATCTTCTATTTATTCTTAGTTATAAAAACTTATAGGTTTATATAGTCTAAAAGGACCTTAATTATATAATTTACTCCTTTAAGATAATAATACTAATATTAAATAAATAATAGTATAAAGCTCAATTAAAAGTTAAATAATTAACTCTTATATTTAAAAACTTCTTTAACTAATATATAACTAGATACTATATATTCTAGTTATCCAGTTAGAATATAATTCTAGCTATACTATTTTTTAAAGTATTAGTTTCTAAATAGATAAATTAAACTAGATTAAAATAATAAAGAAGCGGTATAGATTAAAAGATAATAATAAGCTAATAAAAAGCTATCTTTTTAGAAAGATAAAATTATAGTATTCTAGATTTATAACTATTCTTACTTCCATTTAGTAAATTAGTTAAAGGTAATATAATAAAAGAATAATTAGTAATTAATAATAAAAATTATAAAACATAAGAAAAATTTATAATTTATAATAACTTTTAGATTCCTCCTATATAATAATAGTATTAATATAGCTTTTATCTATTAAAATCTCCTTAAGGAAAATAATATATCCTAGAAATTTAATCTAAGATTAATAAAATAAATATTTACTTTCTTTAATATATAAATTAGTATTTCTTAAGTATTCTAAGACCACTTTAATATATTATATATATTAAGAATAATTATTAGAAAAGATAAGAATATTATTAAAATAAATAATATAGAAATTATTAAGAATATTATAAAATTAAGAATAAAAAATATTAATTCTTTAACTATAATCTTATTAAGTTTTTAATAATCTATATAAAGTTATAACATACTATTTTTCTTTAGAATAAAAAGGATTAGAGCTCTAGTAGAATTATTAGAGAGATAAATCTAGCTAGTCTTTAAATTTTTACTTAAATACTTTTATAATATCTTAAGTTTAGTAATAAATAATAGATATATTAGTCTCTAAGAGAGAATTTTTTCTCTTATATAATAATTATATATTAGCTCTTTTCTATAATTAATTTATTTTTATATATTAGTTTTAAAGAAAATATCCTAGAACCTCTTAAATTCTAGAGGTAATTATATAGATTTTAATAAAGAAGGTTTATTATCTCTGAGCTATATATATATATTTAGATAACTTGATAATTATATAAATATAGGCTTAATTTTAATAAGCTTTTATAAACTTCCTACTAGATAAAACCTTAAAATAAGAAGTCTTAAATTACTATTACTAAGTATTTAGTTCTAAGATAATATTTTAGTCCTATAAAGTTATTATAGATAATAAAATAGATCTCTCTTCTAAAAAGTGATCTTAATTAATAATAATATAATCTTAGCTAAATTAATAGATAGTCCCCTAGAAACTAATAGTAATTATTAGGATTCTCCAAAACTTATAGGTCTTTATTTTATAGGTATTAATAATAAAAATAATAGGAGTAGATAATTTAGTATATTATAATTTAAATTACTAAATAAATTAATAACTAAATATTAACTTTAATATATATATTTATATTTATATAGGTTTTCTAGTTATCTTTTATAATAATATTAATAGTAAAATAATTAGTAATCTCTAAATATAAGTATTTAGCTAAGAATAGGGATTATTATCTAGCTAATTATTATTTTTTAATTTAAAGTTATTAAAAGAGGTATAATCTTCTTGTTATACTTTTATTAAGTAAATATTAGCTAATTAGCTATTCTTTAACTAATATTAGTTCTATTCTTAGTATTTTAAATACTAATTTATAAGATAATATTAATTATTATAAATAGAATATTAATAAGTTTTACTCTATATATTTATACTATTTCAGTAGGGTTTTAATAAGAAGTTATTATTTATTAAATTTTTATATTCTTATTTATTATCTTACTTTAGTTAATTATAGTATTTATTTTATTAATTCTTTTATATAGGGTTTTAATTATTATTTTTATAGTAATAATAAGGGAAATAATATTAAATAATATCCTATTAAGTATATACCTAGGATACTATTTTATTATAAATTTTAGGTAGTTCTAGTAAGGATTTAATTATCTTTTAATAAAGTTCTAGTTATAATTTAGTATAAAAAATAAGAGTATATTCCTCTTTATAAAAAAGAAGGAAATATTGTTTTAAGATATTTAAATAAGTATAAAACTTATAAGTCTTAAATATTTTATTATTAAGCTTATTTCTTCTAGCCTATAATATTTAACTAAAAAGTAGTTAAATTCTTTAAAAGAGTAAGAGTCTATTTTATAAAATAAGATTATAAATTAAAACTTTTTAATTACTAATTGATAATTTACTAGTAATACATGAATACTATCTCTACTAATAAGTATAATCTATATAGTTAGTTATTAAAATAATTTTTATTTTATTTAATTAGTATATCTTAACTACTTATTAAGTTTAGTTTATATTTACTAACTATTTATTCCTTTCTTATAGAGTTATCTTAAAAGTAAACTTTTAAATATTCTTTATCTTAAAATTAGTATTATAGCTAGTATTGGTATTACTTTTATTAAATTAGTAATTTATTTATAAAAAAAGGTAATTTATTATTATTTTAAAGAAGAGGTCTCTAAATAATCTACTTTTTATTATAATTCTATAATCTTATATTTTAGTTAATTTTATTACTCTAACTATTTTTATTATTAAATTAATTATTTTAACTATTTATCTAAGTAGCTTTCCTAGGAGATAGAGAGTATTTCTTTATAAAATTCTAGGTAATCTATTTAGGATTTTAGGTTAAAGGGCTAGTAGAAGATATAATAAGATTATAAGTAATTAAAAAGAAAGATTTAGAAATTATAAGAGTTAAAAATTTTTAATTAGGTATATTTTACTATACTAGGAGGTTTAATTTTAAATAAGACTAAACCTTATAAAATATAAGGTTAAGGGTTAAGTATAGATATATAAGAGATCCCCTATTAATTCCCCAACATTATAACTATGCATCCTTTAGGGGTATGCGGTGGCAGGCCACCTTTGGTGTCTCTAAAAACTCTGTGGTGACCACCTCTGGTGGTCACCAGCTTGGCGGCTTTGGTGGCCTGGCAATTCAGGCTACCCTCGTAACAGATACTTACTAAGAGGTCCTAAAGTTCTTCTAATCCTTTTAAATATACTTTAGATAAGCTTATAAAGGGTTATAAACTTACTATTTATAATACTACCTTTACCCTAAAGGAATTAAACAATCTCTATATAGGAAGTTAAGTTTAAGTACTTAAAAAGAGCTAATCTAAATACTAAATAGCTCCTATATAGGATCTATAAGTTTAAGAAGTAAGAGACTTAATTTTATTAAGAAATAAGTAATTAAATTAGGAAGATAGTAGTAATAAAGTAACTAATTAAACTACTCCACGACCTTTAGATCCTTAAAAACGTGCCCCACCAACCTGTTCTGAATGTAATATTTAGGGGCATAATAGAACTAGATGTCCTAATCGTCGCGCGGCTTAGTTTATTGTGTTTAATTAAGAATTAAGTTGTTGGGGATAGCTTCAAGATCAATGGGTAGATATATATTTTGGTGCGTGATCGGATCAACCAGGGTGAGCGGATCGGCCGGGAATTGCGTTATAGGCTTGGTTAGCTAGCCCATAGGATGACTAAAGGACTATAGGTTGCAAATTTCTATGTACATTCGCGAGGGCCTTACACCAGGACAAAGGTAACCACCCGTGACGGTGCCGACACATACATAAATTGGTCCGAGCCTAGATGAGTAGATATAGAAGTCATATAAGGCTATGAGGCAGGTAAAGCCTACGACAGGTGTATCAAAACCGCGCACGGGTGTGTATCAATGCCACTCACGGACCAAATATCAACTACAGCCCGAGAGGGTTCGCCACTTCCCTGGAGGATCTTTGTGCATAGTGAGGCAACCCGCATGGCCTGCAAGCGGTCCCCACACTCAAGGACTGCCAGCCTGGCCCTGGAACTAGCCACTATTGCGGCAATGTGGTGATAGAAAAGGTCCTCGATTCGAAAATCATCAACAAGTAGCATTGGCCCCGAGTAAGACTCTGGGGGAACTAATGCAGGTTTTGGCTCAAACATGCGGACACTCCGCGACGTAGTCCCATTTCGATAATCCACCGGGGAAATATAAGGCGGATTCGAGATGATGACATCGCACCCGAGCTCAAAATCGGGAGTGCGCCCAGCAGGCATGTGGAGTACATTTGCCAACGCAGATAAATCATGAGCGTAATCGAGCACGTTGCCTTGTCGAAAGCTGATTTCTTTCAGGGCGCGATCTGACAATAATCCAAGGTGCACATTCCGCTCATGGTTCTCCTCTGCCAGTCTAACAGCCGCACTGCTGATGTCGATCCCGGTGATAGAGAGATTTTTGATATGCGGCGCGAGCAGAGAATGCAGTAGCAGTGGTATACAGCCGGATCCGGTACAAAGATCAAGGATACGGAGCGGTGTCTTTTCGTTGTTGTCCCCAAAGAGACCGTTGGCCATACCTTGGAGTATCAGATTTGCGGCGTGGTAGGTAATCATTTCTGTTTCATGCCTGGTTTGGTACCTGATCAGAGAGAGAGACGGAAGTTCAGTGAAGCGAGATCAAATTACCTCGGAATTAGAACCCCTCTTTTACACTTAATATCCAAGTCACCAAATGGTTGATCTCCCAGTATGTACTGGAGAGGCACCCCTCTCGACCGAGCCGCGCACATTGTTCTCAGAAGGGTCCTCGAGTAGGGAAGCGGAGCTTTCGTCGGTACTCGTTCTGTCGTCGTTGATTCGGATACACGCAATGCGTGTTCACGTAACCATCGCAACTCATTTTTCGCTGATTCAAGGGTGCGACACTCCCTTAACAGCAGTGGTAGGATGGTATCATGTTGGTATGCCTGGAGGATTAACCGTGTAGGGATGCGAGGCATTTAGACTGCATTTGTTATAAAGGAGCTCAGTGCCATGTTGTAATATTTATTAGTGGATCAAGTGATTGGTTACAGATTAGGCTGAGACTTTTTGTCTCTCTAAGAAAATTGTGCTTGGCCCAAGCGTCGCAGAAGGACGCAGCCGTCACAGCGCCCTAATATAGATTGTGGACCCAAGATTATTATACAGATTATTTGACACGACGACTGCTTGCTGCGTTCCAACACACAACCATATGCCTCTGATTTTCTTCTCACTAAAGTGCTGATAGTGGATAAATTACCCTGTCAATGTCATCGCGGCCAGGGTCTTTTTACATTAGCAACTATACAATAACGGCGTCAAAACATTATTTGCAACCTTCCGAGTTGGCTGCACATGGAGATTGTGCTCATCTAAAACGAAAAATTATAAAGCTAACATGTACCCCATAACTGCAGCCCCAAAAGCGAGCTGACCCGGAACGTCTGTAGGCCCTCCCAGCGCCGTTGCTGCGCCTGTACTAGTTGAAGTCACAGTGAACCCGGTCTCGGTTGGGCCCCCAATCCTTGCACCCGAGCCATCGGCCACAACGGAAGTGACGGGGTCAGATACTTTTGTGGCGCTTGGAACAGCATCATCGCCGGTCCCAATCTCCAGGATGTTACTGTCAGTCGAATTGAATCTGGTATTCGCGATTGAGATTTCATTATTCGCCAAGTCGTATACCACATATGCGCTGCGCAAGAACGTATCCCCAAGGACATTACTGCTCTCGCCCGCAGGAACAATACCGAAGACACAAGCGCGTTCGCCGTTCCAGAATCTAAGATCGCCAGCATCGATGATTAGCTCATCAATACCCACCGTAATCGCAGGGGACGAGAACGTGAATGTTAGATCAATGTTCTCATGAGCCAAGCTGCACGGTGCGTACCCGGCCCCAGTGGATGGTTCGTACGTAACACCAATATCGTTGTAGATATCCTCCACGATAGAATCGGGTAGATATGACAGCGAACTGCCGGAATCCAGGAGGACCGCTGCAGGGAGTGCGCCTGAAGAAAGTTCACGACTCCTGGAATCCGTCTCAAGCGAAACCCCGGTGAGAGCTATAACGAGCTCCGAGTATCCCCCATTAACACTCTGTATTGGAAGGGTCTGCAAATCGCCATGATACTTTTCAGTATCCACCCCCCCAAAGAGTATTGAGCCAGTGTTTGCCTCCAGATCATTCAGCCAAAGGCTGTAGGCACTTGACTGAATTACACCATTTTGCACCAATGCACGAGGGAGATTAGGGTAAGGTTCGTCCCCAAACCGCCCAACCTGGACCTCGTTTGAGGGGTAACCAATGCCTAGTACGCCCTCTAACTTCGCCGTTAGTATCCAGAGTATACGCTATTATAGCTGCACATACCTGCAGAGCTGGATGTGTACCCTACTCCGAACTGAAAGTCGCGAATCGTTACGCCGCCAATATGGAGGGTGTCGGCTGCGTACTCTCCAGCTGCACCTGAACCATCCGCATAACTAATATTGAAGTCAGATGATACATAAGTGTATGATGACGATGAATCAGGATCATAGGAGCCGGAAGTGAGACACGGATTTTGACGTGATGAACAGAGAGTTGAGTTAGCCGCGTTACACCAGAGATCGCTGCTTCCGGTGTCGAGAACTAATCGCAAGTTTTGCTCCGGCGTGCCGATCGTTACGTTGCAAAAGTAAAGGGTCTCCTGCAGAGCTGTAAGTGAATTGCCTATGTGGAAGGCTGTCCTTGCCAACGAACCTCATTGTCGATTGATTGCGAGACAAACCGATCTCTCTTTCGCCTTAACCGGTCCCTCGCCACGGGATCAGGTATCTCATTGCGTTGGATACCCAAGGTAACCACAGCAGCAGCCGCACCATCTCTTTTTTGTTGCAGCATCAGAGCTCCCCGTGAGCATTGAGAAGATATAAGGAATACCAGAAGAGCCAGAACTCTCCACATTGTGCCCTGGGCTCTACGCCACTGCGTACTCCACCCCCGCGACCAGAGTCCTTGAATGGAAAGATTGTTAAGTTTGGGACTGCTAAAGTCAAGCTTTGAATACAGTTTCCGCGTGTGATTGGGCAGTGCAATGAAGAAATGGAAAGTTTTTCCAGCGGCCTTAACCGTCTTTGTTTATAAGTAGTAGACTTCCGGCCAGCCGTTGACTGGGGCATAGTGAGCTTTTTGTATGCATTCGCTTTGATGTTCGGGTTGGATGGGATGGGTTGGACCGGGGTCCGCGACCCAATGGATCTATGCAGTATCTTGTTGCTGTCGTCATCATGGGGCTCACATAAACAATCGTAATCCATTAGATCTTACACTTCATTCGTATTCGTTCTTGGAAAAGGTTGTGATGAGATGGAGGAATTACCTGATAACGAGCGGATAGTTCTCGGGTATTTCGTGGAATAGGGAAACGCTGGGACGTGCCTCCGAGACAGAATAGTAGAGCAGAAAGCAGAGCCAATATGTAGATATTATTAGTATTTCTTAATCACGTTTGCCAATTAAGAATTAAGAGGACCTAGTCAAGTGGGTCACTGCTTCTTCCGCAACAGGGCGTACGGAGTAAGCAACGTAAGCTCTGCCAAGCCGGAGCCGTCGGAAACCTTAATTCGTGACCCGCCACCGCCGTTTTCGTCATCCTCCTGCGCATTGCGGACATCACCTGAGCAGGCGCGTGCGGCGTGTTCAGGCAACAACTTTAATCTTGCTCGGCAACCCGCGGATCGCTGGCATCATTGTTGACCTAATTCTTTCTGATAGTTACGCATACATAGGGATTGGGTATTGAGGCATCATCAGTTGCAATCACAATACCACACTAAGTAGATGCTGTTTCTGAAAATAGAAACTATACTGACCGCTTTGCAAGAGAACCATCTAAGGCTTTCTCGACTAGATTGGTATCGATGGCCACAGAGAGAAAGCGCATGCGGAAGAATGGCATTGTGGCCCCACGGGCCGCGCGCGATCACACAGGCGTCCTTTGTCTGAAAAGGCTTATCAACCGACTTCAAACAACAAGATGCCTACTTTAGAGCGCAGTATGCTTTCAATAGTCCATCGAAGTCCGGAGTAGGGCGTGGCATGTTAATAGTACAGTATGAAGGTACGGATGTAGTATACAGGTAGCGCCAGGTGACTCCCAGGCGACCAGATCTCACAAGCCCATAGCTGTTCTAACCATGTTCATGGTGATTTCAGCATTTGCGCGCGCATTATGTGCACCTTGTTCAGCGATAGCATCTAACTGGGCGCTGTCCGCCATTAGTGAGTGGTACTTTTCCCTGATGGGAGCTAGAACGTCGCTAATCCGATCCGCCACCTCACTTTTAAGAGCCCTTAGGCTAGCTGACTCGTAGGACTGGGCGACTTCGTGGCACGATTTCCCGTCCAAGTGGCTTATGATCTCTATAAGGTTGGACACTCCTGGCCGCCGTACGGGATCATAACTTATTCCTGCCTCCGAATCTGTGAGCGCGACTTTGACCTTTCGACGAATCTCGCCAGGGCTGTCGGTGAGAATAATCCTTGAACGTCCATCGACATGAGACTTGGACATTTTGAGTGTTGGTTCTTTTAGAGACATCACGCGCTTTGCAGGTGCTGATGGCGTACCCTTGTCAGCGATAGTCTTCTCTTCGGTTTCTTATGGGGGGGGAATGCTCACATATGAGTGCTTCAGGGGACGGGAATATTGATCCGTATAGATGGTTGAAGCTATTTGCAGTGTATCTCGAGAACTCTAGATGTTGCCTCTGGTCTTCCCCAACTGGGACATGGGTAGCCCTGGCGTGAAAAATCAGTACCACCGGGAAGATTTGGGAATGGACAGTAGCCAACCTATGGACCAAGATATCGGCAGCTTGAAGAACTGGATACGAGAAAAGGCCCAACCGTAGTTTCGACCGTACATCTGCATTGTCCAGATTCGCGTCTTCGGGCAGCTGAAGTTTACTCTAGCCGGAATCAGCCTCTTTTTCCGTAGGGCTACACTGCTAGACCCCGTGGCAAGTACTCACCTTCCATTGAGTCATACGAGACAAGTAGCCCATGGAAGCTACGGTACTGAGAAGCCAGAACAATTCAGCATGTTGGTGAACCTGTGATGTGATCAGCCGAGTGCCAGCATTGAAGTACTAGAGGCCAAGTGAAGACAAGACATACAGAAGACTGGTAGAACAATGTCGAGCGATTTGGATCTAGACCAACAGCTATCAATGTCGCAAAGGCCTCCTTCCTCCATGTCCTCAACTGACGACGTTCCTGAGGCACTGTCAAGGCATGTAAATCGACGATAGAAAAGATTAGCTTGACATCTTCGGCGGCGGTGTCTTGAAGTTTGACCCATTCACGTAAAGCGCCCAGGTAATTTCCAAGATGCGGTACACCTGTGGGTTGAATTCCGGAGAAAATAGTGGTGCGGAAAGATTGCGCAGGCTGCGAACTTTCCCATCTCTTAGAACAATACGTTGCTTTCGGACCAGTGCTTTTGACTGCCCTGGAAGCAGCAAGGCATTGGGTGCAACGCCTGCTTACAGCATGCATATCTTACCTAAAATCAAGGACTGGCGAGAGGAGTGAGGTGTTCAAGTCGATGTTCAGCATCCGCGACTTTTTCTCTATCCACGTGACCTGAATGATAGCGCGCGAAAAATAGCATTGTCGTTTAGAGTGCAAATGCTGTGATAAGCGATGAAAGAGGATATAATGTTCTAATACATATACGGACAACAAAGTAATGAAGACTATATTACACGCCAATCCACAGATAGAGAAATGGCTCGGGATCAACACAGGGAATTGTTTTACCCGCTGCGAGCTTGGACCAAAGGTCCCTTCTTCAACGATAGGCGCTCATTTCCCAAGAATTCAGATAATGACTCTTGCGCAGTAGATGTTTCAGTTTGTTGACGACCAAATCGTGAAAGGTGAGGTTCGAGGTTCTTTTCGATCGCGGGAAGGGCCTGGTCCATATTCTTCGCGATATCTACATGTGAAGTTTGTTAGCTGACGGCATAGAGATAGCAAGAATGGGAAGGCTACCTAGGCTTTCATGTTCCCAGACATTGGCCTTCATTCCAACACCGTAGAAAGCGTGCTTTCGTAGAAAAGCCAGCCATGCCTGAACTGCCTGAGGGTTTCCATCCTTGATTTGAATCAATCGGCGGGTGGTTATTCGTTCAAAATTCTCCTTGCTCTTTTTATGCACGAAATTTGACCGAATAAAGGTCCACCGTTCGGTAATTTTTGGTAAGGGAACCGGCCCGGAAACGGGGAGCTTCAGGTAATAAGCAGCTCGGATAGCGAAGTCTGCAAAAAACTCCAGATTGCGCACACTATAAGATCGTAATTGAAGATCGCACACTGGAAGACCGTATTCAGGTTTTCTCCGGAGCGGCCGCAAGTACAAGGCTTGGACACTTCTTGGTAATCGGGTGTTGGAGTTGATATCTGCCAGACGTTCGCCCCTACAGTGGCGGTTAGTGATACCCTCCCCGACGGTACAAAAGCGAGTTGAGAATTGGGTTGAGGGCAAAAGACGGACCATTCCTTGACGGGCGATTCAACGGGCAGCTGGGATTGCGGTAAGCTGCTCCCGTTAGCAACAGCAAAGACTTGAAATACTGGAAAGACACTGACGACTGCAGTTTATCACTCGGTTCGGCCACAGGCAATTTTGTATCTGCGGCACTCATCCATCGGCTTGAGGAGCTGAGCGCACGAGAGGTCGCCGTAAACTGGTTGATGTTAACTAGTGCGCTTGGGTAAAAAAAAAATGGAGCAACAGTACCTGGAAAGACCTGGTCACTCGAAGCAAACAGCTATGAGGCGAAATGAAGGACATGCTTTCGCCAGAGGGTTGATCCCCACTAAGACCACTCACTGGCTTCTTGCTCGAATATATCAAGTGAATGGGGTTGGTCTGCTGTCGCTACATGCGGCTGTCCCTGAAAATTTCATTACTAAGCAACCCGTGACCTTCAGCGTCCTCTGTTCTCAATCAATGGGTCCCACCAAGTACAAACCTTTTCTGGCGAAACACGCATTATTGATTGAGAGGTTGACAGTGCTTCGGAAATACCAACTAGCACGGACTATCCGCTCTTCTAACATAGGGCCAACGGCTTACTCTTGTGTCAGATCGCAGCATCTTCGGGTACATCAATCAGCCAGCCCCGCCATTGAAATTCAAACGACGACGATCGCGACTATTATGGCGACAACCACAAACCTCTCATCGTCTGAAAAGACCAACGAAGCTTTTGCTTTTCTCAAGAAGTCATTGCCGGCACAATTGCAAGCTCCTCGTGTAGCCATCGTTTGTGGCTCTGGATTAGGTGGTCTTGCAAACACGATTGATAGTGAACTTCGAGTAGAAATCGATTATGCTGATATTCCACACTTCCCCCGCTTGACGGGTAAGTTTCCCAGCTGGCCCTGCATCTTACACTACAGGCGGACTATTGGCTCACGCAAAAAGTTGCTGGTCATGCGGGTAAGCTTGTTTTTGGGCTTCTTGACAAGCAAGTTCCGGCAGTTCTCATGGTTGGCCGCGCCCAGTAAGAAACTGTCGACGTTGACAAGAGCCGGGTAGAATTCTTGCTAAAATTTTATGCGCCAGCTATTATGAGGGTCATGGAATAGACCAAGTCACATTTCCTATTCGAGTCTTCAAATTGTTGGGAGTTGATACGGTGATTTGTGAGCTAAATCTGATCATTCGCATTCGCCAGTGCGAACTGGTCAATTCCAAGACTAACGACGTTGCGTATGATAGTAACAAATGCCGCTGGAGGTCTCAACCCCGAGTATGTGGTAGGCGACATTGTACTTCTAAACGACGTACGCCAACCCCGATTCCTGCCGACAATTTGATTGCTCTGACGTATATAAAAGCATATCTTCCTCGCTGGTTTAGCCGGAACACATCCGTTGCGAGGGCCCAACGACGAAGAATTTGGCCCTCGATTCCCACCTCTGTCGGATGCTTATGACCTCGATCTGCGTCGACAGGTACATGAAGCTTGGGGAAAGGTCATTGACGCGGAAAGCAAACGAAGATTACACGAGGGTGTGTATGCCTTCGTCGGCGGACCAAGGTAAGTGTGAATCCTTCTCCGAAACGCTTCAAGTCGAGTTGACATGCAGCTTTAGTTACGAAACCAGAGCAGAGTGCCGGATGCTCCGCCAACTCGGGGCTGATGTGGTTGGCATGTCGACTGTACCCGAAATCGTTGTCGCCAGACACTGCGGTCTCCGGATTATTGCATTCAGCCTGGTGACAAACAACGCTGTTCTTTCACCTGTCCCTCGCGGAGATGACCATCTCATCCAAGGCAGGGACGTGAAAGAGCTGGACGCAATTCTGCAGGAAGGGAAAGCCAACCACGAAGAAGTGCTTGAGGCGGGCCGACTTGCAGCTCAAGATATGCAGGTAGGACTTTCGAAGTGCCTTTGCTCCACTGCGCGAATGGATACTAAAGTCACCACAGAAGCTAGTTGTCCATACCATTACGGATATTTTCAGGAGCACCTGAAGCAGGCCTGGATTGTTGCCAGTTTGGGCGAGCAAATCTTAGCAGCTTCATGCCAAGATGCCGATGAGAAATCCCCATTCGAAGGCGACAGGAGTCAGTCGTATCTCGTCGTCCGCTACCCTGTTCGCGCTCTATGGATCGTTTCTGTCCTGTTAGAAGATCCTAATACCAAGGCGAATCAGCGTCGGCTCTTGCCGCCCTTTCTTTTAGCTCGTAAGCTGTTATAGAAAGCTTTCTTGCCACTTTTCTTCTTGTCCTGTACATCGTTGTACCTGGATTCGAAGCGTTTGGTGCTTTGTTCCAGGGCCAAAGCCTCCTCCACAAAGGTCTTCTTGCGATCCCGCTTTACGATGCGACCACTAAAGAATTCGGTTGGACCTTCAATGATCGTGCCCACCTGTGAATATTTTGGCGGTTGCGCCTTGCCACTTTCTTTCTTGTAGTGCCGTTTCGGGTCTAAGATGGAACGCATTCGCAAAAGTTGCAAGTCCCTCTTCAGCTCCGGCGTCAACTCTGTTTTGGGGAGGTCAAACCAGTCGCTTCCTGCCGTAGGCTTCTCCTAAGACAAGAATATTTGTAAGCAACGTCTTGTCATGAATAAAAAAATGAGCCGAAGACACAGTGCTTGAAGAGTGATGCTCAGAGTAACTATGAAACAAAAGTGCTCTCATTGGAACAGGGCAGCCCAAGACGGACTGTTGAGACTGTATCAAGCGCTTACGCGATGGGTTTTTTCTTCCTCATAGCAATAGAAACAGAAAAAGGTCGAAAGAGATTGATGGTGCTGGCTCACCTTCTTAGATATGGTTCTGGGGACCGTCCGTTCAATAGCCACTGACTGAGAACTGGTGCGGAGAACCGGGTCAATTATCCGTGCGGTATCGATCACTGCGAGGTCGTTCTGATGGTGAAGGTACGGCTTCAAGGAAGACCCCGAGGATATTTTTGGAATGCTGTGGTTCAAGTTAGTTTAGGGGAATTTGCGATGGTGAAAGGTTCCCGGTTTAGCAAGGGTGTACATACTGAGGAAGAGTGTGCTGAACTTGAAAGGCTGCGATCGAATCATCAGCTGGTTTGATCGAGTTATCGCGCAGCCGTTCCTCCGCCTCAGCAAGAAGCTTGATAATGTCGTCGTCTAGCTGGTTGACATTGTTATTCTGAGAATGAGCATCAATCGGCCCAGACATTACGGAGTCCGTTCGGTGATGAGTTTTCAAGTCCAGGAAAGGAAGAAAAAGAAGAAAAAAAATAAAGAAGGGTAAGGGTGATTTATAGTCCGACTAGCTTCGTTGGCTGGGAAGCTTCTTGCGCGAGAAATTTTCTTTGTGGGGCTCAGATGGAGAGTACGGTACATCGTAGGAGCACTCTCAAGGAATTATTCTGATTACTAATTGTTGACTGTTAATGAGCCACCTATACACAATGCTTCACATCTTGATATCTAAAGACACTGTCTTGAAATACCTGCTGGTCCGGAGATAAATACCCCCTTTACTACCAGGCAGGCCTTTGTAAAACAACCTCGTAAGACCCGATGAGGCGAGGCATGTGATATTTCGAGTTGCTTTATAGCCTGACATTTTAGGCTCCAGTCGCTTGCACCTCTCATGATTCACCAATCAGTAAGAACAATTACCTGGAATTGAAGCAAGGATTATGGGTAAACTTCTCCCAGGTAGTTATACTACGCTGTTGTAGGTGCGAGTTTGTTGTCTGCCTTGGATCAGTGCCACTGTGATGAATTCCGCTACCTCTGCCGCGAACGTCACTGAGGACCAGTTCCCGATCCTTGGCGCGCTTTTGTTGCGCCGGGTCGCTGACTCCTCAAATGCTACCCAGAGTGACGCCTCGTTTGATAACCCGATTCAGGTACTGCCTGAACCTTCACTGCATCGTGTTCGCGCCTGACCTCAAGAAGTTACACCTAGTTAATCAACGATTTATCGCGCTTTGTAACGGGAGGATACCACACGCTGAAGTGCACTTGGTTGTCACACCCGTCTTGAATCCTCTGCCTTGGATTCTCGCGAACCGTTGAATCGACTCGAGCTCTTCTCACAAAATTTTAGCCTCAAACGGAACAGCCAAATTCGAGATAATGGATCAAGCACCCCAAAGTTCTGGACAACAGCCGGGCAGGCAGCCGCCGCCCATATACGACACGAGGAATGGTGGGCACTATGGTATTTACTCCTCTTTTCCATGGACCTATACTTTGCGCATTTGACGCAACCCCCGTGGCCGTTGCATGAATCTGATATTGAATCTTAGGCGCTAGTGCGGCGGTATGGCTTTTCACACTGCCCTTGATGTGGCACTCCCTGCTCCCTGAGCTGACGTTCTTTTACTTAGCTCGCCGCACAAGGATTCGCACCGGTCGCCGAGCTCTATACAGGTACATGGGCAAATGTGGGTTAATATCTGCTCCCCTTATCCCGCACTGTCTTTGCTAAAAGTACTCTTGTGATGGTAAGGTCAACCAAGGCTTACAAGGGACTGCCCGTGATATCTTGACAACGTACTGGCAGCACGTAATCAACCATTTGGAATCCGACAACCATGATTATAAAATCCATCAACTCCCGCTTGCCCGGATCAAAAAGGTCATGAAGGCCGATCCGGAGGTGAAGATGATCTCTGCGGAAGCTCCTATCCTGTTTGCCAAAGGCTGCGACGTCTTCATCACCGAGTTGACCATGCGGGCATGGATTCACGCCGAAGACAACAAGCGGCGGACACTACAAAGATCGGATATCGCAGCCGCTTTATCCAAATCCGATATGTTTGATTTCCTGATTGATATAGTACCGCGAGAGGAAGCTACGTCACATGCAAAGCGGTCAAGCCAAACAGCAGGTGCGCCGGCCGGAGCTGCTGGGCCTACCCCTGCGGGTCAATTGCCGCCAACCCAGCATGGCGTCCAGCATCATCCTCACCACATGGCACCGCCGGACTATGGCTCCTTGACACAACACCCTCTTCAGGATCCGGAGTACCGACAGCAAGCTATATACGGGGGAGCTGTGCAGTCAGATCCGACAGCCGCGTATGCGCAGCCTCAATCTCAGATGTTTGAGGGAATGTATACTGCGTATCCTCACCTTCCTCCCCAGCAGGTATGTCCACCTTGATCTCCGTAGCCCCGCATGCCCTTAGCCGGTAAGCTAATTCCATCGTCTCAGTGAATGAAGCTATAGCGAGGAGTTGTACTCGTGCGGTTTGAACAGTTGTACCCGTGTGTTTAGGTGTGCGACTTCAGGGAAGATGTTGCTAGTTGTGCTCTAAATTCCAGTCATGCTTGAACATACCCAATTTATTGATTTGCCTGGCATTAAGGTCCTGTGCACGCGGTATGGAAAAGAGCCTCTATCACCGCGAGTATACATGTTGCCCGACTAGAGGTTACGACTAAGATTTCTTTCCAAATCTCGACGAAAGTGTAGAAAACTTGTCCAGCTTTACAGGACTCTGGACTGTGTGCGTAAGTCTGTAATGGTAAATATACGGTCAACCAGAAGAGTATGTTGGGAATGCCTTACTTTTCCAATAAAGTTGGGCCGTTGATGGCGTCCACACGCCCATATTTCTTGTTCCGCATTGAGATATCGTAGAACTCATCGGCATTATCTGCTTGCATCAACTGCACCGTCTGCTGCAGCTCATCCAAATTCTCCCGAAGGATAGGGTTATTGAGACTGTCAACGAAGAGATACAAGTACTCGACATCTTTGGCAAGGGCCAACACCCCGTTGGGGTTGATACGTTTCACTTCCGGTGAAAGTGGGAGAGCCTGGATTGTTGGTTAGCCTGGACAAGCTCAAAAAATGTGCTTGCTCACATACCAAGATCATGGTGGAGGCATGGCTGAGAGCATCGAAGTAAATAAGTTCTTTGATTTCCTTTGGAAGTCCAAGAAGCGTCGAATTCATGATATTTGAAAGGAACCGGGTCAGAGTTTGCATGTAGCTGCTGGGTTCTGTAGGCGCAACAGGAGACATCCAGTCGTATTCTGCGGTCTCAATAAGGTCATCAATTTTGGAATTCACAACTTCGAATATTCGTTTCTCCGCTGCTTTTTTGTTATCTCTGAACTTCCCCGTCGCTTTCAAACACACTGGGTCGCTGGAGGAACTCTGTGACCTAGCCGCCGCAAGTAATAGCTCAAGCTCATGACACGCATGCTCGAAATGTTCCAAATTGATAAGAATCTGGACGATCTGCCCGAGGTACTGGGAGTTAAGGCGCTCTACTAGTGTGTCGCATACTTTGTCAGAAAGAAGTTCGTCCAGTGCCTACCGCGGTTAGTACGGTCTAGATTCTATTGATGAAGGATTGCGAAGACTTGCATCCTTGAGGGTTTCGTCGATTATATCTGGGTTCGAAAAGTCGTCATTGGCGAAGAAATAGAATTGATTGAGGAAATTTCGGATGTCGATGCAGCACAACGGGTACATCTGCGAGAAGGGCAGAACGCAAGGGAAACTGATGATCAGGTCAGTGCTTGTCTGATATGACACCGAGATTCGGACAGCGTACACTTGATCTTGCGGCTTATCGGGGTTATACCAGCTAACATTGAGGACTTTGTCAAACTCCTCAGGGGTTTGGATCGGCATGGGCATGTAGTCGTCCGTGGAAACAATCTTGATACAGATCAATACAGTAGGCAGGTGAAGGAGCAAAGTTCCCTTACTTCTTGGAAGTCGTCGCTGAATCTCCTTTTGAGAAGCTCGGCATATTTCTTGAATAAAGTCAGAAATAGGCTATCGAAAGCCCCCACAGCAAAATCCCAAGTCTACCAAGTCAGCGATGATTGGAAAAGGAATCCGCGACAACCTACGTTCATTGTCTGCATGAACAACGCGATGAGGTTTTTTATTTTTAGTAGACTTTCAGCATTGTCAACCTCGTACAGAGCCTTTGATATCAAAGTCACGGCTGTCTTGCACATAGACTCCCATAATTCATCAACCTGCGATTATACATTATAAGCTTAGTATCCCGGTGCGAAATGACCTTTGGGGGGGGGCGGGGTTGTGTGGAAAGCCTCACATCAACCGGATACCTCATATCTGGGACCTTCTTCATCGTGGCCCGCTCAACAATGGCGAAGCCGGCCATTTCTTCGAGAAGATTATGTAGACTTGCCCCATCATCATCGACTAGGGTAATGGAGGTTGGAATCAAAAGTTCCTTTTGTCGACTGCGGGTGTTTGCATATTCAACCCGAAACTTTTCGATTTGCCCTAGCGATTGGTGGATATGTAGGCATTCGAAGAGTGGGGTAAAATCAACCTGAAGTTCCTCGTTCTGAAGCAGATCATATTCCTCGTGCTCATCCGAAACTAGCTCGATCGCGGAATTCAACTTGAAGTGCTCAAGGTACGGCATTTTTATGGCTCTCTCCCTTTGTCTCGTTTTGCGCAAGTCTGTATGGTACAGTGCTATCTCTCCGAGATATTGGGACATTTCTCGAATCCTGTATAGCCAGGTGTTTAGATCCGACATGACAGCTTCAGCTATAGCCTTCTGAGTTGCTGGAACGGAGCGCTGAATCATTTCAGCAATTTGATATTGCGTCACACCCTTAAGGTGAACATTCTGAAGCTCTTCCAGGGCACGAAGCGCAGCATAGTGGTTCTTTTTTGCCAGGAGATCGTGGACTTGGTTTGCGAGTCGAAGGACTTCTAGGCAATCTTGTATGGCACGGGACGTCTCATCAATGTTTTGACGATGCCGCCTTGAGTCTACCAAGGCCTTTTTTTGCTCGGCTAGTTTCTCTGTGCTCGCTTGAATGGATTGATTCAGGTCCAAGATCTCCACCGTTAGGCTGACTGTACCCTCTCTGATATGCAGAAGCTGATTGACAGATGAGACGAATTCCTGATGATTTGTGTTGCAGATGGTCTCAATCTCGGCCTCCTTGTCGCTAGCAAACCTCGAAAGAGAGCCCAATAGCTCGGAAGTCTTGTTACCAACGCTGTATTCCTTGATCGAAGGTATCAATTGGTCTAGATAGTCGGTATCGGAAGGGGATATGATTATCTGCAGGAATTATGGCTTAGCACATGTGTTTCGCCTTTCCTGAGCACAGAATTCAACTGACTTGGTTCAGAACATAGGAAGATTCGCTCCGCGACGGGACCATTGACGGCATCGTGTCTGCGTCTAGGTCTGGACGGCCCTGGGAAAGCTGATCCAGGATAGGGCAGTTAAGTTAAGATAGGTCTGACAAAGTCAAGGTACGTCTGCTCATTAGGTGTCCGAAGAAGTGGGTTCAAAATGCCTGGCGATAAACTGGAACGCTGTCAAAGACGCCGAGAAGCCCGCAACCGGGAACAGCGAGCTCCGCGCTTGCCAAGAACGATTGCGTAGCTCCCCACCTATGGCAACCCATACCTACCAGCGATAAGCCTGGCCCGGCTGTCTGTGCCTGGGGTGCCTGGCGGCGGCGTCGAGTCCACTTCCTTTTCCTCTTTTTCTATGAATGTTCCAAATGTCTTCTTGCCTGCTCCCCTGAGTAGAAATCTAACCATTTCATTTATGCTTCGTCATATGGTAGGCTCTGTGCCTATTGATGCAAATATCCTGATATACCCTGCCACTACATTGTTTGGGAAATTTGTGGGTCCGCTCTGACTATTCAACACCTCGAGCCGGTGACGGTGACACGGCCGGCGGCGAGAGGAACGTGGACTAGGAACGGCGATATGCATTCATTAGGTTCCATAGCTTTCAAAAGCTCTCCGTATCTTGTTCACCTCTTATAGCTGGTCTCTCTTGGTTGTATGCCCCAGCGCATGATAATATCCAGAGACATGGGCCTTGACCTGATTTATAGTACAGCAGTCTGTGAGGCATATATAGACTACGGTGATGTTCTTTACTAACCTAAAGGATTAATCAAAGTACGAGAGGTATTAATTATGCAGGAAACTTACTGTGATGTGATTATAGTGGGTATTCGGCATCATATCCAACCTGTCTTCACTTCTCTCGGCGTCGCCTTTTGTTTTGAAAAAAAGCCGTCCTTTCTTCTCTCACCTCACTAAGGATTCTATCTCTGTGGAATTCAACAGGTCGAGCAAGCTTGTGTTTAATCTAGCATCACGCTCTTTGAATACTTCAAGCCACCTTCTCTTTGATATTGAGATTTAGCCATCACCCAGAACTAACTGCATCTACGGCCTGAAGTAACAGTTTCAGAGAGGACCCAGCTCAACCCACTAACAGATAGCTTACCCTGACCCTCGACATGAGGGGAACTAACTCCTCTTCTCGTGGATTGAGCAGCCCGAGCTCCACTGATGGAGCAGCTTCTCCAAACGGATCTCCAGATACAAAACTCACGGCATTGTCACCAGAGGACGTGCGAACTAAATGTCTCTCGCATTCGAGTGCATGCGGTCCGCTGGACAGAACTGGTTTCAGACAATTTTACTCGACGTCAGTAAACATACAACTGATATCGCCCCATTATAATATATTGACAACCTGCAGATCTTCTTCTGACCCGTTTCTCGTCTCGACGAGCGTGTCGAATCGTCCACAGCTGTCTCCCACGGCAGCGAGCTTTACGCCCATTGGTATAACAGATTCTGCCAGCGCTAATCACGCTCATTTCATGGCCAAAGATCTCTCCACAAGCAACATCAGTTTCCTGGCTGCCAAGTCCAACGCAGAGCCCTGTGCACCAGGAGCTCGACCAGCGAACCGCATAGAGAGACCTCTTCTAGCCTATGGCCCTATTGGGAGTGATCGAAACCTGAGGGATTGCCTTCCCTCTAGCCCTGCCCATGGAAAACCAGAACTAGAGGGATATACTCGAGCTTTGCTCATCGAGAACGTCCCCACAAACCTGACTTATATGTCACTGGCTGCTTTTTTCAATGTAAGTCTTCACACTGCATTCTCTAGAATTGACTAACCTTTCTGGAAAAGCGCCGCGAATTCACTTCGCTCAAAGGTCCCGTGCTGTCCGGACTGAGCTCCATGGGCAAGGTGTATGTCTCCTTCACCGATTGCCGCGAAGCGAAAAAGGCGATGGAAAAGGTTCGCCTTCTTCGGCCCGAATGGCGAGTCTTTCCTCTCAGCCCGAAAGAGTACGTGCAACAACTGGATCCTGCCCTTCTTCCCCAGACTTCAGATTACGAAGGCCAGCTGCTCGCTACTGTATACTACGACAGCCGAAACCCAGGTCTGAATCAGCATACAGTGGCACGTTCTCTCGAGACACTTGCGATGACGTTTGGGGACATCAAGACGTTCACTCCATTACTCTCTGGCCAGGAAAATGTCGCACAATTTCATATCGAATATTTCAACACACGTGACGCCGAAAATGTCATGACAACCCTAAATGGCACTTCCGTAGACGTGAGTAATGCCCTCGATAAAATAGTTCCTCGGCTGAGCGAAGCTGACAAACGTTTGCTAGGACTGTGTTGTTGAGGTCTCGTTCTTCAAGCCAGATGTGGAGAGTGAAACATATCCCTCTCCCCGGAGCCCACGCTCTACGAAGGCTGGTGGCTCGTGCTTTGATGCGCTAGACGCACCTTTTGCTTCGCCCCGTCATAGCCGTGCTCCGTATATGGAACTAAGCCCTACAGGCCGCTCTACGATCCCATCTGGTGAGCATGCAGGGCTAATGGATTGGATGACAAGAGCGGGAGAAAATATCATTCATTCTCCGCGGCGCGAAGTTACTCGCTACCCCGATTTGCGCTTGAGCAATCAAAACGCTGTGGATACTGAGCGTATCCGCCTCGGATTGGATGTCCGCACCACGGTACGCCTTTTTGCACTTGGTATCCTCACCCGATCTGACTTGAAATACAAGATTATGCTGCGCAATATTCCCAACAAGATTGACCAGGTACGCACCGGAACCTAATAACGGGATTCCTTGGTACTAATTCTGTAGACCATGCTCAAGGCCATTGTTGATGAGACAAGCCACGGAAAATATGATTTCATGTATTTGCGCATTGGTGAGTCCGCACTCGAACTGGAAGTAAACTCATTGGCTGACCCGTTGGATCAAGATTTTGCAAACAATTGCAAGTACGATATTCCACCTGTCTACAGCCCCCAGTTACCATTCTTTCTGACCATCATGTCTCAGCGTTGGCTATGCTTTCATAAACTTTGAGGATGTGAGTAATGTTCGCCCTTTCTTCTCGTATATGTTCTAACAGGATCACTCTAGCCAATCGATATAATTGATGTCAGTTCTCCCTAATTTTTCTCTGTACGAGTCTCCATGAGCGTAATCTCACGTCTATGTAAAAGTTTGTCAAAGCGCGAGCAGGGCGCACCTGGTAGGATCCACCAACATAACCCAGTGTATCATACCACTGACCTCTGGTCACAGGAATTGCTTCAACAGCGATAAAGTTGCCGAAGTATCATACGCAAGTTAGTGCGCTCATTGAACCCCGGATTGTGGTTCCTTCTTCTGACGTTCACCAGCCATTCAGGGTAAAGATTGCCTGGTACAAAAGTTTCGCAATAGCTCGGTGATGCTCGAACACCCATCTTTTCGTCCAAAGGTAGGATTAGTGGTCTCCTAGAGGGGTGCTTCAAAGCTTACATTGGCAGATCTTTCATACCGGCACTGGGCCTCTTGCAGGAACAGAGGACCGTTTCCCCGGACCAGACAATCCCTCGAAAATGCGCCGCAGCATAGAGAACGCAGAACATATTGGTGAGTGATGCTCCTAAGCATATCTGTAGCATGCATAGTAATGAATCTGTAGGGCTTTTCGCGCCACGGGTTGGACAGCAATACCGGGACGAGCAACGACGCCGTCGGTCTCAGTTTGACCGTGGGACTACTGCAGCGGAGCGGGAGATAGTGTACGTCCGAACCCTTGCCCCAAGACGCCCGTTCGGCTCCGCGAGCAATGGTTTGAAAAGCGCACCCTGCACTTATCCTGCGATGAAATTGTGGTACGATTCGATCCCTGATCAAGGTCCCAAGACTTCCTAATGCTCTGTCTGGAATGACCATTTCCCCTTCGTCAAAACGACGAATGAGCTTGTTTGTGTAACAAAATATCCTCTCTGCTCCGTGCTGGGGATTTCTTTTCTTCTCATCTACGTGTGCCTTGATTTCTTGCATGTTATTTCTTCTTGCATTGTTCTTATTCCGGGTGATCGCCGGCTTGAAGAGGCCCTACCAACAATTTCTTTTTGAGTCATAAAAGACGGCTCTCTACGCTCAGGTTGGCCTGGTTGTGGTGTCTCGGGTTGAGTCTATATGTTGGGCTCCTCTTCGTTTGGAATTCATGATGTGTGAAGGTTGCGGTCGAAATCTAATGGAGGAGTAACCGGAAAAGAAAAGATCAAAGGCAAACACCGCATTGGCGATTTCTAGTATCTTGTTTATGAACAATTTAAAATCGAACCAAGTCTGTTAACGGGCCTCGCATTGTTCATTTGGATGTTACTTCAACGTACAGAGTATGAGTGGATAGTGCCCTAAAAGCACTAATCAGCTAAACCATTTTAAGCCTTAGTGCATCAAGCTTTCTTTCTCTTCTGGGTCAATTATCAAGTGCATCTCACAGCTTCCCTCGGCAGATATAATTGCCAACAACCTCCCCCGAGTCCCGACCGCACCTCATGGGGCAACGCATCGAACATACCCGCACTATATCCTTTCTCCGAGCTTGGAACAATCCATGAGCTGGCTTCCACCTCGAGGTGGCCCGTGAAGAATACATACGATAGAATATCCCTTGCAGCCTCCTCGAATAAAAATACTTGAAATACCATGGAAGAAGACGAGATTCTACACGTGCATCACTTACTGCACCTGATATTCCACCGAAATCGAAACCAGCATGGCCGGACAAAATGGTGGAAATGGCTTTCGATCCTGAAACGAACCGTTTGGAATCTAGCACAGTCTCTGGGCAGTGGCCAAGGGGGTTTCCGTCCCGCCGAGTCCTACAGAAAGTATCTCGCGGAGTGGATTGTACCGAAGTGCTACGTGTAAGTCTGGAAGCTGGAGAGCAAAGAATATATTATACAACAGGGATTCTCAGTAACTAAACCCCTTTATTATTAGGGCGTTTACGGGAGTTGTAGCGGATGTTCAATTTTCGCCGCTCGGTACCGTACTTCTCGCTACACTTGCACGCCTATCAAATTCACTCGAAATTGATAAGGATTTCAAATCGCGTCGCTCAACAGAAATGGCTTCGATACACCACCCCTTATCTCATAAGGCGACATCCAAAGGGAAGGAAGACGTGGGACAAGCCTTATCGCGGAGTGCCGCTGGTATAGATATTTGCCCAGGCTCTGGTCCACAGCATGCGCCTCATCCCATCTCGGTTGATCCTGGGCCTGCCGCTTCGAGCAAGCCAAGTTTGGCAAAGAAATCAGACACCTCAAAACAGGAGAAGACAAAGACAAAGAAAAAGAAGAAGAAGAATGCAATCGACGATCTCTTTGACGGATTGCTGTAATTAATCATACGTGAACAGGCATTTGGCCGCTAATGTCTGCCTATTCAGGAAGTATGTGCAAATGATATCCAGCGGCGAAGGTATCACCAGTCTATGTAAAGCAATATACAATATGAAACCAGCATATTTTGACTGATCCGCGGTGCTGCTATGAAGCATCAGCGAAAAATAGATCAATTTCCCAAAGAAGATTCACTGCAAAGTGGTGTATAATGGCCCAAGATATGGTGTAAAGATATTTGGGTGAAAAGACTGTCCAAATGAATAGATGCGTCCGCAAGACGGTGCACGCAACCATAACAGACAGCAGTGTGCATGCGACACAAAAAGATAGAAGGGGTATGTGCGATTGGCGTTCGTCCCAAGGCCTCCTAGATCTGAGGAGCTTGGATGCCGACACCCACCATATGGGACCAGCCCAATTGCCGACATACGTCAAGATACCAACTAGAATGATGTTATAGTTGCCGACGCCGTTGTATGCGTTGGAGAGGTCGATAGAAGATATAGCATTCGAGCCACCAAATGCGAAAAAAGTGACGTACTGCATGAACAGGGATGTCACGGTGATTTCAACTGAAGTCAAGTTGAATGACGCCAGAATCTGGAGTTGCAGTCTGAGAGCAAGGAACATTGGAATATTTGGGACTCTCGACTGAGTCACGAGGAACAGAGTCAGAGCCTCGTGGGCCACTGTACCCGGCGACGCTATAATAAGTCAGTATGGCGATTGCGTCTTCAAGGTGATGGTGGATGCTTACCTCCTTTCCTTCTAAACTTTGCGCCAATGGCCCAAAGAATGAGAATACCAAACATGACGAGTCGCGCGTATAGGACCAACGGTACTCCCTTGAGGGCAGTGGCTATACGACTAGGAACGAACTCAGTGATAAGCTCAGGAGATTCGATCGCAGCAAAAGCCAATTTGTACGTGAAAGCCACAACTGTGACTACCAGGCAAGTCAGATACCATAAAGGTGAAGGAGACGAGCTTTGAATGAGGTACAAGTAAATGTCCGCATATGCCACCATCACGAGCGCCCATAGTGCTCCTTGATGGTTCGGAAAGTATGTGCGAGCAATGTCAGGCTCAGTAGCAAATTTTTGGCCAGTTTGGTTCCACCGTCGCAAGATACGGTGACATATTGTGAGAGCAGCCGCACCATATATCCTGAGTAAAGAATGGGATATCCGTTGGCTCCCAGCTGGTGAAGTGCCCCGTCGGAATTGACACGATCTAACATGGAGGTAAAACGCCCAACCCGTGAATGACCAGTACCAAAACTGCTGCTCCTCTTCCACGTAGCTGCTAGCAAACATCATGGCGCCGTAGCTGAAGATGCTTGCCACCAGAAACAAGCCGGGCTGTTGGTATCGCCGCAAGGCCTCGTAACTGGTAGGCAGTAATAACAAAATGGCGAGGCCAGCGATGCATATGGCTAGGCAAAGATACCTGAGATCATAGTTGCTGGCAGCGCTGCTCATTACGTCCTGGGAAGCCCAGAGGAACCGCAACAAGGTGGTCTCAAGCTCAGTCTGGTGAGCACTACCATTGGCTTCATCGTGTCGGTCGAGCAGCTCTCGAGCCTGACTCCACGCACAGTGGGCTTTTCCAAGGCTATTTTGTGGCTTCAAATGACATGTATTGTCTTCGAAGCTGTAGTTCGGATAGGTTTGCTTGAGCGTCCTCAGCAACTGCATTGAATTCTCAAGGAGCAAATTTAACCTATCGGAACCTGTACAGGGGGCATCAGCACATTGATCTCCATCTTGTCGCCGGGTTTCCTACCAAGATGCCACATATCCAAGAACTCGGGGATGAACACGCCAAGGCTGTTCAGAGGTATTGGTAAACCAAGAAGGCCAGCCAGGGTCGGCGTGATGTCAGTTTGATCCACAACACGATAGTACTGGAGGTCACGCGAAGCATCTACGGGGCTCCGTCTACCCGTACCTAGGCCTTGAAATCTTGGTGATATGAAAAGCAGGGCTGGTGAGGTTTCGCCGGCAGAGGAGCCACCGTGATTCCCAGCATCGTTCATTCCATGATCGCCGCATAAGACAAAGAGAGTTGATTGCAAATGAGCCTCTTGCTCCATGGCTTGGTATACTTGCGTGACTATCGAGTCCATTTCATGCTGCTTTGGTATCATGTATGAACTGTGAACAGTCAGAAGGTAGCATAGTCAGTTACCTCGACTTACATTACCTCTGCGGTCCAGCTTTGTGCCCAATGTGATCTAGACCCAAGTAATGCATTATTAGTGCCGACCAGTCATTTCGAGCAAGTTCACTGGGGACATGTCGAGTGACGTTCGCGTCTACTTCAGTAAAGTCCTTGCAAGGGTTAATATCGATATACCTCTGATAATACGGGTAGTACTGACGGATACAAAGAAGCTTGTTGTCCCATCTGCTCTACTAAACATCCCAGGGAACAGCTTCAGCCAAGTATCGTCCCCATACATTATAAGCCGCTCATTTTTTGCCTTTATTTGAGCCAACCAGGTATCCTGATGCGCGAGAGTTGACGAGGTATCAGACTCGGCAATATTCAGGATCACATCAAGGAAAGACGGTACTGATCCCGTCGTTATAGCCTTCAGACGAGGCATCGTGACAGTTGGGGAGCCTGCATAGGCAGTAAAGGGAACAGCGGCACCGGATCGAATGAGGCTAATTGAGCAAAAGTCAACTCTATACAGAAGGTTGTTTTGGTAGCGGCAAACCTTTGAGTAAACAAGAAGCCGGAATTGTTCGAATAAACAAAGTCGCTGGTAATTCATTTAGCTAAAGTACATGGGATAAGGGGTTGAGATACACTCACCTCCGTAGAGCATCCACCACCATGAAAACAACCTTATTGAAGATCTTGGGAGGCGCATTATGAGGCTCTTCAAATGTTGCAAGGCCGGAAAGCAGCGGTTTATATGGGAAGAACCCCAGAGAAAAGACCAGAATGGCAATTGGAATGAGAAGATTGGCCACAAATACCAGCCAATTGGCTGAGATGACTGCCACTCTGACCATCTCCCCCCGTGGATGAGTAGGTGACGGGTAGCAAAGCTGTACAAGATGTTGACGCTTTCTTATATGATCATCTCTAAGTCGATATTTATTTACAACTGAGCGGCTTATTGTTTGTCATATATTCCACCGGCCCCAGACCTCGGAAGTCGAAAAAGGCGGTCGTGACATTACCGCCTTCTGAACATGGAAAATGGAAACTTTTTGTCGACGAGATGTCAACTGAAGAAAGATCAAGTATATACGATGTAATTGCTACATTATAAGGGGTATCTTGTAGCAGGGCCTTGGAAGGCCCCGTAATCTGTGCGAATGGCACTTGACATGGTGGCATAAACGTAGTTGGGTCAAAGAACATTTCCCGCAGCCTCGGTCACATAAGTTCCTTCTTAACAACGTAGGAAAGTCCGGTTTTCGTCCGCTCAGATATATGCTGTCATAAAGAATTCATATGCAATGGCCTGTAGCGGCTCTTCATTGCGCACGCTGGGTTCCATCAATCGCCTAGAAGTGCGACTTGTCTCCAAGCAAGCAAATATGTTTCTGATGGACAGTTCGGTTCGTAAATAGGATTATGTTGACGATCTTTCTAATGAGTAATCCAGTTCCGAGGGAGGCGGCCGCCGGGATCTAATAGCGCTTGTTTCAAGAAGCCTTTTCAAGCATCACAAAATGAAAAGTCGATGTTCTTGGCTTATTTCTTTTTCGAGATTTTGCGGGTCTTTGACGGGTGCGGTTTGAAAACAATGGAAGAACGGTTTTTGCGCTGACGTTTCTGAATTCGTCCTGACCGCCGTGAAGAGCCGTTGCCGCTTGTCTTCGAGGTATCGATGTCCATCGCTGTGAAGCCAAAATGAGCATATGCTTGTTAACATGCATGACTTGAGTTTGCCAACCTTCATTGCTTTCAGTGTTGATTGCTGGGTTTCCGTCTTGCATATCTAGATACTGTTAGCAGCAAATTACACCAAGCCCGAAGGCGCGGAGAATCAGCACATACCAATCTCTATGGCTTCCGCGTTCGATTTTGACTTGTCCTGATCATTCGGTTTGGGTTGGGAAGCAAGCTCTTGCAGTTTTGCAGACAGTCGCTCCGTACGTGCATCCACAACGGGGCCAAAGACTGTAGCGCGAAGTTTGGCTTTGTTGCGCTTTTGGACGCTTGCTCGAACACTCTTTGCCATTATCGCTCTTGGGAGTACCGATCTTATCCGCTTAAGTGAAAATCGAACAAGCTTGTTGGGCAATGGTTGTGATTTCGCCTCCAAGGCAGGTTGGTCGATTCAAAAAAGTTTTCCACTCCACTCGAGAAATCTTATGTCATCCGCTCGGAGCCGCCTCGATCACCTCCGCACTCCCTCAGTTGTTGAGTCTAGCCATGAAATCGATTGCTAGAGAGTCAAAGTGATATTGCCGCCGCACTTTCATTCTTGATTTCCCTTTCTTTCTATTCCAAAACTCAAACTTTGAGATGTCTGTTAATGGATTCAATTCGTCGAAACCTCGCTTGTTGAGCTGCACTCTTCGAGATTCTCCGCGCTCTCATATATCGAGCTATTAACACATACTTTGGAGGAACCTCAGTCTTCACAATGGCCTCCGGCCAGGCACAAGAGCTACAGAGCGTGATCGCTTTGATCAAGACGCTAACTAATGCGCAGCTCAAGGAAATTTTGAGGGTTGAGAGGTTACCGGTTTCCGGAGTAAAAGCTGCGCTTCAAATGCGAATCATTGAGTGTTCGTCTATCTTTGCCGACAACCTGTCTTCCTCTGAACACAAGCATGCTAAATTCACCTCACTTTAGATATGGAGAGGATATTTCAGTCGGGTCAACTTGAGCGTTACGATAGTCTCCGAAAGCTTGTGTATGGAACCGCGCAGCGTTCATTGCCTCCATCTCTATCGGTACCGCCAGCTTCACACTACCCACAAACTTCAGCAAATCAATCACTGCAACCACAACAAAGGCCATCACCCGTAGGGATGTCGGTACCTTTACGGGGATCGGGACCTGGTATGCTCCCCTCTGATATAGGTCATGCTACAAGATTCTCATATTTCTTCCAGGTCTGCTTAGCTTCAAGGAAAGTCCATTTTACAAGATATTGGCCCAACTCACCCCTACTACAGAATGCAAGGGTGAGTGGCATTCGTTCCTTTCAGGTCGGCTTTGAGCACCGTCTAATCGTTCAAAGCAGCACGCGAACACACCAGAGATAGTGTAGAACTCAAAGTTCTCCTCAGTGCGGAGATAGCGTCTAGACTGCAGTCTGATCCAAAGCTACGCGTCATGGTTTTCTGCGCCGCGGATACTGGCCTTAACCAGTTCACCAAGTCCGACATCGCTTTCCCCCATCAAGTTGAACTCAAAGCCAACCTTGATGAGGTCAAGGCTAACCTTAGAGGTCTCAAGAACAAGCCTGGCACAACACGACCGGCTGATATAACTAACTTTATTCGGAAGAGAGCGGGATATACAAATCACGTTGTGATGACCTATGCTTTGACTCAGAAGGTAAGAATAAAATACTGTTTCATTGAGTGGATTTCATTGCTAATCAGTATTAGAGGTTCTTCGTTCTTGCTAATCTGGTTGAATGCACCCCAATTGAAGAGCTTGTAAACAAGCTAAAGCAAAGAAAGACAATCACGAAAGAGCAAGTGCTCCAAGAAAGTAAGTATCTCGCAAACCTGGAATATATATTCTTCTAAACAAATAGTAGTGAAAAGCAAAGCGGAGGACGCCGACATCGTCGCCACTTCGACCGTTATGTCGCTAAAGTGTCCTCTGTCCACGCGACGCATAGAAGTGCCATGTCGCTCAGTAATATGTACGCATAACCAGTGCTTCGATGCGTCTTCGTTCTTGCAGTTGCAAGAGCAGGCACCCACATGGACCTGCCCTGTTTGCGCCAAAGCAACCAGCTACGAATCTCTAAATGTTGACCAGTAAGCCTACACTCAAACCTGCCCTCGCGCCCTTTATTGACAACAAAGCTAGGTACGTGGACGACATACTTCGCTCCACACCGTCAGATGTCGAGCAAGTGATTATAGAACCCGATGGAACATGGTCAAATCCCAAGGACGAAGTAGCGGCAGGGCCTCGAAGCATCACTCCCGCGACCGACGACGATGATTTGATTGAGATCAAGGAACCCGGGGTAACTCCTGTAAAACAAGAACCTCTTTCTCTTTCCATTCTAGACTCCTTACAACAAAGCCAACAAACGCCAGCTAGGTCGCGTGAACAGTCATCTACATGGTCTACAGCCACTAATAAGCGCCCGGCTCCAGTGATTGACCTCACTGGAAGCGACGATGAAGACGATGATTCTCCAGTACGACCGCCAAAAAGACCGGCTATCAATGTGCCACCCCGACAGGATTCTCGGAACGCGTACGCCAGCCCTTACATTGAACAAGGCTCTCTTCCCACGTACTGACGACGGCTTATCGTGACTTTCCTCAAGACAAATGGTGGCTGCATGCGATTTATCTAGCGAGGCATGATTACGGGTGTTATGGCGCGATTGGGTTCTGCTTTTTGGGGTGTATTTGCATTGAGAGAGCGAAAGCCCTTGGGGAACTGGAGGTGGTTCAGGTTCAGCGGCAATTGCCACTTGGTTGAGGGACATAAATCATCTTACCTTGTATAATCCCAATTGCTTCAACTATTCAAAAACATATAATTTAAATTCAACCCGTGAGTGACCACATGGTATAATCCATATATTTGAATCGATAGATCCACATATCATGATTCCTTTAGGCTGTGCCTGGGTTCTGTGGCGGGCCGAGCGGCCCCAGGAAGTGTTTATCATGATGCAGCCGCTCCGCAATTCTCCATAACAACAACAATTCAATTTCCACGCAAGATAATATTATCTAAACGACAGATCCAGCGGGACATGATTTCATTAAATTAGTCGTCACAGCTCTTGAATATATCGCTCTATCATCACCTGCTCCAGACAGTCAACAGACCTCGCATTCCCAATCATGTCGTTCGACAGCTCCAGCTCACACCTCAATGCCTCCGATCCCCTCCTCAGCGCCTCTTGTCTAGATTTCCTCCTCATTGAGTTGGTACCGATGGCTGAGCGGCTAGCGAAAGAACTCGCAGCGGATGATAGAGTCCTTGATGATGAGGAGGTGAAGGAAACGGCCTTTTTTCGGCTAGAAACACTGGGTTACAGGGTTGGACAGGGACTCGCAGAGAGGTAAGTCATATGCCTACTCTGGACTGTGTCCCCTAGGATCTCGTTGAGCTTGGTGCTTTCTGGGAGGACGACGGTGTTGGGGGGTTAACAGCCACGTTCTAATAGCCATCTGTCCCTTGCAGGTTTTCTCGAGACAGGCCGCGGTTCACAGATAACCTAGACGTCATCAAATTTCTTTGCAAAGATCTATGGCAAATATTGTTTAAGAAGCAAGTCGACAACTTGAAAACGAATCATCGCGTGCGTGCCTGCTTGATCACGGCGGATCGCTGCACTCAGAATGAGATCATAACTAATGGTACCTGGTAAATAGGGTGTCTATGTCTTGACGGACAGCTCTTTTAGACCATTTGCGAGAATGAGTATGGCAGTAAGGAGCGAAGCTGTCGCTATGGCTCAAGCTGTAAGTCGGACCTGCTCGCCTCTACATCCCATTCCTGAATCTAACCAAGGCTCAGTATCTTTGGTTTCCTTGTGGTGTTATTCGTGGTGCGCTGTCAAATTTAGGTATCAACACGACTGTCCAGGCTGAAACAACGGAATTGGCTGGAGCGACATTCCAGATCAAGACGATAAACAAGACCTAAGAGGCCCCCGCATGCACACGCTAGTCGTCAGAACGCACCCACTAACTCTCTACACCGTCAACGCCAAAACCTCACAGCAGGGCAACCTGTGAGGTTTGCATCGGTAAAAACACCCGGAGTTTTACTCTACGATTTCCTCCCAAGTCCGATCTCGTTCTATGGCGTGGATGCAGGTGGAAAGAAGGACATGGGTCATATTTGTTCTGTCTGCATTGCGTCTTGATCCCCTCAGCAGCAAATCTAATCGAAGCGCTTCATTGCCGCCCCCACCCGCTATCAGTATTTCTTCTCAAACAGTTCAGAGCCTATCTTCCCGTGATATCATTGATTAGCGGAGCTCTTTCCATGGCGATGGGCTTTGTACCGCGGACAATATGTCTTTGGTGGGAGCAGGAGTTGCGGCATGTGACAATGATCGATCAATGCATGAAGTCCTGGGGTTGATGGACGGGGTTGGGCGCGTTTACTTTGCTTCGGTGCCCTTGACAAACTCGACGCCCTTTTCGATGTTGCCCTTGAGACCCTTGACGGCAGCCTCAAGGAGCGTCTTCTCATCCTGGGAGACACCATCCAGAATGTTGATGGCCTTTTGCACACCATTGGGCTATTTCTAGAATTAGCGCTGCGTTTCAAAAATCATAAGACTTTTTCATGGGTTATACTCACTCCGAGCTCGACAGGTGTTGAGAAGAAGTCGACACCAGTAGCCTTGGAGATTTCCTCACCACCGGGAACACCGGGCAGGTAAACATAGGTGGGCTCGACGATTCCAGTCTCGCCCTTGGCGGCTTTGATAACCTTTTCGGCGAACCTAGAGTTAAGTTAGTTCTAGATACCGCTTTTCCATGCTAATTGAGGGTCAGACCTGAAGCCAGCGAAAGCCATGGACAGGGTAGCGGAGCCAGCGCCATCCTTGGCTTTCACGACCTCGTCACCGCCGAATTGGACGCCTTAAAAACATCAGTGATAATACTTTTCGATGTTCCAGGATTACCCACGGTTAACAAGAGCGGCGTATTTGTCCCCAGGGACCTGGAACGCGGGAGAAGCTTTGCTGAAGAGAGGGACAATGGTCTCGCCAGAGTGTCCTCCAACAACAGGGATTGTCACTGTCGAGGGGTCCTTCTGTCCAGAGAACTCCTGGGTAAAAGTCTCTGCGCGAACAACGTCCAACGTAGTGACACCGAACAGACGCTGGGGATCGAAGACTCCAGCGGCTTTGAGGACCTCGGCGGCGATGGGGACGGTGGAGTTAACGGGGTTGGAGATGATGAGGATGAAAGCTTTGGGGCTGAATTCGGCAATACCCTTGACCAGATCACGGACAATGCCAGCATTGATCTTGAAAAGGTCATCACGGGTCATGCCAGGCTTGCCTATAAACAAGAGGAACATGTTAACAGATACCAGTATATGGTTTCTCAATCGGCCGGGATGACTAACGGGGGATTCCGGCAGGGATCACGACAATATCGGTACCGGTCAGGGCGTTCTTCAAACCATCGTCCTTGGGAAGGTATCCGGAGATTTTCTGGGGTCCGTGTCAGTTAACCGGGCCTAAGGTAGTTCTCATACTAGAATCACTCACAGCAACGGAGGAGATGTGAGACAGGTCGGCAGCCACGCCGGGTGTGTTGACAACATCGTAGAGGGCGAGCTCATCAATGAGAGGAGATGTCTTGAGTAGAAGGGAGAGGGGCTATTCGTTGGTTAGAGGCGCGATTGAAGCTTTTAGAGCGGCGGGGTGTAGCTATGCAGACCTGTCCAATGCCACCAGAGGCTCCGAGAACAGCTAAAGGTGGTTTATTAGAGGCGGAGGATTGCGCGAGAAGAGGGTTCGGCTTGTCTTACCGGCCTTGACCATGATGTAAGATCGGTTATTCGACTTGGCTGGATGCCGAAGAAATCAGTGTGGTGAAATTCTGAGAAGAAGGTGTATCTGGATTCTGGAAGCAGAGTGCTTTTCAGTCGAAGGGGGGAATGGGGATGAGGGGAGGTGGAGGAAAGGTTGGAAAGATCAGATCGGAGCTAGGGGCGGAGGGGTAAATTGAGGGGTAAATTTGAGTGGGACAAGCAAGGAGACAAAGTCCAGACTATTCCTGCTACTTACGTCGGTGAGTGTTTGGACTAATGACAGACAGGGTTCGGAGATTCTGGGACGTAACAGAAAGGACTCGGGTGACGAAGAGCACAAGCAAAGACACTTTGCTGATGGCTGGTCTCTATTTATATCGATGACAACCAGCGACGAGGGACTGGAGAATCACATGTGGGGGGGGTTCCTTCTCCGTCCGTCTCTCCGGCTGCAAAAGGAGCTCTTGAATCAATAATGAATGGATCCTCAATTCGACTACATCAATATGCTGCCACTAGTAGTAGTGTCTATCTATACTGCATACTACTATCGTGTAGCTCTTGGCCAATTGTATCTTCACCGACATGACAGTTCAAAGGAGAAAGCCGGTATACGCAGAGCAGCATAATTGTACTACTAGTTGACTTCTTATGCCGACATCCGCCAGAGAGCATCGCTGCGAGTTGAATCCGCGATGACAAGACCAGACAGTTCCTCCCCAGATTCCGGCGGTTTTCGTCAGTTTCTGGATAACCGCCGACAGTGAAGCTGCCGGATTCACCCATCGACCATGGCAAAATCGGGAAAAGGCGGGTATCGAAATCCCTCTACGGCAAATGGATGGCGGCATCGCGCTTGTGGTCCCAGTCCTGTCAATCAATTCGGCCCGACGACCGGCTGTGAAAGCATCTAATCACCCAGGGCCATGTGTTTCTAGATGATGAATATCCATCAAAAGTGACTACATCTACGCCCAGGGAGGCTGATTATTTTCCCGACCACCCGAGGCACTGGAGTTTTTCGTGTTTTATGTTTCGAGAAGCAATTTCCTTTATTTTTTTTTTGTCTCTCGTTTCGTCCCCGATCCCAACTACGGGACGACCAATTGTCGCGGAGTGAAACGATAGCAAATATATTTTGCTAAGTACATGGACGTCACTTCCCGCTGGGCGGCGCTGAGCCACTGTATCGAATGTACGGTATCATATCTCTAGTCCCTCGCTCCCATACGCAACCTTTTAAGCAGACTCCTGCTCAGCGGCCTTCCTGGCCTGAGCACCGCGAGGCTTGCGGGCAGGGGTATCCTTCTTGGGCTTCTGGGCGCGGCGGAGAGCGCTGACACGGGCGACAGCCTCCTCACGGAGATCAGCACGGTAGTTGTTCTTAGCGGTGCGGTCGGCAACACCCTTGTAGACCCTAATAGGGAGAGACCACCCAGTCAGCAAATCCACTCCCTCCGATGCATTCTGTGAAAGCCAGCTGGTGTCTGCTTACTTGCGGTTGGAGGCGTTAGGGCCGTAGGTAACGGTGGCCAGGCTCTGAGCGGGCTTCTGGGCAGTACCGGGCTTCTTGGTGATGACGACAATGCCACCGTTCTCAGTGGCCTGCACACCGACGGCCTATTGCTGTCTGTCAACGATCTATTCACGTAGGCATCGAAAGGCGGCTGGCAAAGTTTACCTTGGTGTTGGAGTAACCGGCGTACTAGAAAAAAAATTATAGATTAACAATTGCTCCAGCCAGGCGCTCCGTTTGATTCTTCCCGGATATCAAATTCATACCTTGAAGGAGTGCTTGTTCAGCACGTTGAGAGGATCCCGCGAGAACTGGACACCACCGCCGCTGTTGCGCTTGACCAGATAAGCATTCTGGTTGCCTGTAGAGAGTCCATCGAATTAGCTGCCATGATCAATCCCGGATTCGTTAGGGCAATATGTTGGTGTCGTCGGTACTGCCATTGCGTGGGAAATCATCTTCACATACGGGTGAGCTGCCAGATGAGGTCGCTGGAAACGTTTGATCTTTCGGCGGCCATTGTGATGTCTGTCTCGAATTGAGAGATATGAAAGCAGAGGTCGAATTCGTCGCAAGTCCGGTTTCCTCGCTTGGGGCCACTGAATTCCGTGGATAATTGTGTGCGCCAATGCCAAGAGTGACCATGCCGCCAGTCTCGCTAAGCGGGCTGTTTTAGGAATAGTGCCTTATGCCTGATACTGCAGCCTGAATGTACAGGCAGCAAACAGGTACGCACGATCCACCTGCCTCTTCCGCGGCTTTCCCGTTGTACTACGTCGTGGCTTGCTGCTTGAGGGTCATCGTTCTCGACAGGTCAGCTTCCATCTCTTCTCCAACTAGATGTGCTAGGAATCGCTCGTTGTGGCAGAATTCTGCCTGAACAGTCTCACTTACTCTATAAGCAGCCACTGATCGTCCTTTTATCATAAGAGGCGGCAGCCTGTCTTTCTCTCCTGCTTCTTTGCGATTATCTCATTCTTTACCCGACATCACGACCATCAGTTAATCAGACAAACGTCATCTCAAAGAAGCGAAATGGCCTATTTTCTCTACTTCCTGGCGCTATTTGTCGGCGTCTGCGGAACCGGTATGCTTCCTGGGCCCATCGTTTTGCTACTAAACTTTGGGACAATCATGGTTCTGATAAATTCAATGACAGCGCTGTACCTCACTCGGTCCCGATGGCTGCCGCTACTCCCTGTCCCTGATCATATATACCAGCGCCTTCCATCCAGCTTCACTGGGGATCTAGACGCTGGCTTAACATCGTCCGCGTTCGATCTTAACGCTAATATCGAGAGCGGTGATCAGAGGGCGGGACTGGATGCTCGGGGAAAACGCGAGGTCTTGAATATCATGAGACGCCAAAAGGTCGACTTTGATGAAGCACGTCGGATCTACACTGAGCAGCGATTCGCCAAAAACAACATCGGTCCTGATGGCCGGCCCAGGGACCCGAAATTCGTGTCGTTTTCGTGATGTTGTGCTTGTGCACCTGAATTCTCTCTTTCTTATTCAGTACTCTGGTTATCCTCTTTCCTTAATCCTGAAGCAAGCCAGTATCCAAGACTTTTGACGTTCACTCTAATTAACCTTTATGTAGGGGTTGAGAAATGCATCGTAGCTGAAGGTTGTTTATGTACTCTAGCATATGATGGCCGCAGCCCCAAAGAAAGCCGCATTTGATTTCGATCTGGTGCTAACTTGATTGAATGTATATTGCTATACTTGGCGTCCTAAGTGCTCTGGAAATGGCCATTTTGTTACTCTCGGTGCATTAGGATATAGGTTGCGTGTAATAGGTTATAACTTATAATACAAGTTTCCTTGCTCTGGTAGAACGAGGGATACATATCGCGATATGTCAGTGATGAGCCCTTCGAGCCTGTGCATTTCGCATCTTGTCTTAATACAGACGCTTTGTTTCGCGAATAAACGGCAGGCAGGCCTCGTATTGGGATGCATTCCCCCATAGGCGTCGATCTCCCCTGATACACAAGCTAGCCAAGTACGCTTTAGACCCTAAACTCAGCGCCCCCGGCCATACCCTAGCTGTTGGAATCCAGGCGGCAATGGAGGCGGAGGACCCGCATTACCAGACGGCGGCCCGAAACCCGGAGGTGCAAAACCTGGTGGAGGTGCAGTCTGAGCAGGGAAATGTGGTCCTTGGCCAGGGTTGCTGAAACCGGGAGGGAGGAAAGTTTGCGGGCCTCCGTACCCAGCCTGCGAAGGAGGCGGTCGCGCTGGGAGACCTGGGGGAGGAGTCGCTAGTGAAGCTGGAGGAGGTACTGGCCGACTCTGTGGCTGTGATGGGGGTGCCATATTCGGTGGGAAACCAACATTTGGTGGTGGAGGGATTGGGCCCCTTCCCATACCCTGATCTGGTGGTCCTGCGCTCATTGGTCTTGAAGCATCGCCGTTGGGCATTGCGCCGGGTACGATAGGTGTGGCGGGGGCTGCGTATGACGGTGGAATACTTTGCGTCGGCGGTCGTACGTTGTGTTTACGAGCTTGTGCGGCCAACATTCGCTCTGCCTGGTCTCCGTGGCGCTCGCCCTTTCCATCCTTCTTGTATGCGTATTGCACAGAGACCTGTTTGTTCATGAGATATTGGCCATTCATGTTGGCAATGGCAGCATCCGAGGACTCAAAGTCGGCGAATGACACAAATCCATAGCCTTTGGATAGATTACTGTCATCTCTTGCGATCTGCGAGGCGTATTAGCTTCCTGACAGAGGTTGCAAGATCGAGAGGAAGGTATGTACCTTTGGTAAATTGACCAGGTTGCCGAAGCGGCTAAATGTGTCATAGAGTACTTGCTCTGTGACCATGGGGTCGAGGTTCCCGACAAAAAGTTCTGCGCCAATCTCAACCGACTTTTGCTTATCGGCGGAGGCTTTGTTGACGCGAATGGGTTTCCCATATAGACGGATACCATTCATTATCCGAGACGCATATTCGGCATCCTCCTCGCTGTTGAACTCGACGAATCCATATCCTTGATGTGACTGCGTGACCCGATCTTTCGGCAGGTGAACGTTAACGATGCGCCCTGCCTGTAGCATGAGCTCCCATACCAGGCTATCGGTGACCCGCTCATCAAGGTTGCCAATATAGACGGTGGCCTCTTTGTCCTGCTCCCTGTTGACAGTCAGCGGCGGATATTACAGGGGCACGGAGTGGTAAGCACGCACCAATGCCTTGCGCCTGACATTGCGCGGAATTTGTGGAGAATTCGACTGACTTGGGTCGTCCGTGAATCTCAAGGGTTGCGATAGAGCCCGTATAAGAGAATGATCTGGCTTGGGAAGTGAGAAAGCGTAAGGACCTTTATTACAACTTAGCACTAGAAGTAAGCCTTGAGAAGTAAAAGAAGTGTAGAAACAACAATAAATGAAGTAATGTTGATCATGCGAAGTCTTGATGTGCTCTATCGGCCACCGCGGCTTTCGTTAGCTCCGGAAAACTTTTGAGATTCAGACCTCGTCTCCGCCTTTAGTTCTTGCAACCACCGCCTCCTTCAACTCCAGCATTCGACATCTTCGCATTTCAGACCTTTATTTTCTGTTCATTACGTACGTTTCAACTTAATCGCCAAAATGGTTCAGTTTTCCGAAGAAACCAAGGTACAATCTTCTCGAGTACTTTGTCGTTGCTCAAGTTGCTAACCACTTTCGTTTTCTTGATCAGGAGCGCATCTCCAAGGTCATCGATGTTTCCAGAGTCGCTGTTCACTAGTGAGCCAGCCTTGATGCTTGATAACGAATCATTCCTATAGCTCACATGTTTCTCCTCACTTTAGCGGATATCTGCCTTTGATCCTCTACCTTGGTATGGGATTCCCATCTCCCGGCCACGACTTTCTTAGATGCGTTATGCTAATCAACCTGGACAGGCTACACCTACAGCGAGCCCAGACCGTCTCTGTTCAAGTACTTATTCTGATCCGTCGTGCACATTTTGCCCCCTACTGACCCAACGAACAGGCTGTTTTCCCCGCTGGCATAAACGAGTCGATAAGGTCTACGGCAAACCTATAACGAACACGACCTTTTCCCGTCCGAGAACCTACCTCGCCCTTGAATGTTAATTTCCAGATAGCACCGGTACCGAATCGACTAGGTGTATAAGCATTTTCATGTTCGGGTGGACGTCGCAGCGTGAAAGTCTGCGACTCGGCATCCATTCACGTGTATTTCTAGATATTGGTCTCTTTTATGTTAGTACTGGTTAATCAAAGCATTCATTTCCGTTTGCTGTCTCAGGAATTATGTCTCGACAATTCTAGTGAGTTCTAACTCGCCATTTGTATATTGATGATGGAGCTACACTTCGTCTGTTTCGCCTCATTTATCCATGTGCCGCGTTGTAAAGCAATGAAGAACATCCTCCCAGCGCCTATTATCCCAATCTACCTCTAATTAAATCTTTTTGGTAACAACATCAACTCTATGGCAGTGCCGGTCGATTCGGCCTGGCTCTCGTCATCCGTATATAAGCGTTCGGAACGCCAAGGGAAATCGTTCGGACCGAAGATCAAAAGGCGACATTTCTGCCCATCTTCCCAACTCGTCGTACCCCACTCTCTCTCTCTCTCTCCTAGTGAGCCACACTACTCCGGCACTTCAAAGGTTCATGACTGGCAAGGATGGCTGGTCGTCATCCGTGGTGGAGACCATAGCAGGATTCACGGCAGGAATAGCTACGACGCTCTGCCTGCATCCGCTGGATTTGATCAAGACTCGACTCCAGGGTACGTGTACCCCAATCTGCAATCGGTTTCAATGGTTGTACAAACAACTAACATTGAATTTGATCTAGTTGACCGGACTTATTCCTCTCGAGTCGGTGGTTCCCTTCGAATTATACGTCAAATCTTCCATGATGAAGGCGGGTTAGCCGCGTTCTACCGAGGTCTGACACCCAACATCATCGGTAATTCGACAAGCTGGGCACTTTACTTCCTGCTATATGGAGATATTAAGGATGCGATTAGCAATTGGCGCTTGCGCCACTCCCCGAAAGATGGATCGCAGCCGCAGCAGCTCACATCATCCGACTACTTTATTGCATCCGGAACCGCAGGTTCGTTCTTCTGTCTATTGGGAACAGCCTTCTCCAAAATTCGGAGATTGCAAAACGAACGTCAACAGAGTCTGACTTTTTGTAGGAGCCCTAACCTCCGTCCTGACTAACCCAATATGGGTAATAAAGACCCGTATGCTAGCTACGGGCTCCAAATCACCTGGCGCATATACTTCCTTCATCACCGGCGCAGTGCAGATCCTCCGCTCAGAGGGTCTCCCGGGCTTCTATCGTGGACTAGTACCGTCATTGTTCGGGGTCAGTCACGGTGCTCTGCAATTCATGGCATATGAGAAGCTGAAGCTGTATCGGACTCGCGTGTCTTTACTAGACACTGAAGAATCCGCTTCCTCTCGAGCTACCGCGGCGGAGAGAAAGCGCGAGCTGAATAATCTAGACTTCTTTGTCACGTCCAGCATCTCAAAGATTTTTGCGGGCTCCATCACATATCCGTACCAGGTCCTTCGGTCGCGGCTGCAGACGTATGATGCGCACATTGCGTATCGAGGTCTTCAGGATGCGATTGCGCAGATTTGGGTCACGGAGGGACTGGGTGGATTTTACAAGGGCCTTGGACCGAACTTGTTCCGCGTGCTGCCCAGTACTTGGGTTACCTTTTTGGTGTATGAAAATACTAGATCGTATCTACCAAGGAGACTGTTAGGCAGTTGAGGACATGCGTTGAACTTGTCCTTGAAAACAACGCATTGATTCTAGACGCTTGGGGAAACCATGAGTTCAATTTTTCTGATAAGCATTAATTATAGATTAGTTATTCTTAGGGCCGTCTAGATCTTGAGACTCCCCACTAGCCTCCCCACATATAGCAAACTAACCATAGACTCCGCACATCTTCAACGTTCTTTCATATAAAAACACCGATTATGATGCGTTATCCAAACCCAGCATGAGATTAAGAGATACGCCCTTTTCCATGCAACCCTTCTGCGCAGCCATGATATCCGTAATCGCTGCAGAGCTAGATATGATAGAGGAAACAAAAAAAAAGAAAAAGAAAGCCGCAACAAATGAGACTTCGCACCTTGAACATACCTGGTATCGTCGCAGCATGAAGCACAAAATGAAATAGCAAGAACAATCCAACAACCAAACTGAATTACATAAAGAGAGAAAGAACAATCAGAAGGAGGAAAGATGGCGCGGAGAAGAAATACCATCATTGCCCCTGTCTCTCGATATAGTAGGGCTCTGTATCTTCTTCGTCACTACTTGACGCCCCGGTATAAACGGAGTCCTCATAACTCCCACGCCGCGCCTTGTCGTCAACGCCGGACCGTCGCCGGCCATCGGCAGTGTGTTCGGATTTGGAAGACGGGGAGATTCGGCGGTCTTTGCCGCGTCCCTTGATCCCCTTGTTACTGTTTTTATACAGCTTGGCGAAGTATTCCCAGAGTTCCCGGTCATGAGGATTCATGTGCTCGCCGTCGATCACTTGCGAGAATTTTAAGGTTAAGTTTCGGAGCGTGGTTGCGTGGAACTTATTTTGGTGGGACTGGAAGTTTAAATTCCGCTCCGTTAGCCCCATCTGTTACCCCAGCTGAACAGGGACCTCTCTTGGGTTGACCGTTTGAGCTTACCTTGAGATTTCCTAGCTGCGTAAATTGCTTTCCGCACTGGTCCAGGAGACATTCGAATGGTTTTTTGTGCTCGTGTGTTATCTTGTGGGCGCGCACGTTTCCTCGCTGGGCGAAGCGTTTTTGGCAGATCTCGCAAGAAAAGGGCTTTTCTCCAGTATGGCGTCGTTGGTGAGTCTGTTTGAAATCCAGGTTAGGCCGTGATGTTTTTCTTGTGGGGTTATATTGCTGCTCTCTTTGGTGCCAGGTAACCTTTGACTTACCTTGAGGTTTCCCAGCTGTGAGAATCGCTGCCCGCATGAAGGTTCTTTGCAGACCTACAAGGATGTCTGTTGTTAGCCACCTTTGCCCAAGAAAAAAAAATATCGGATGGGCTTACAAATGGTTTGTCACCGGTATGGGCTCTCATGTGGATGTCGAGATGAGTCTTTTGAGCGAAACTCTTCCCACACTGTGGCTCCGTACACGCGTACTTGCGCTTCTTCCCTGATCGAGACTGGGGCTCCTCGATAATAACAGGAGCAGCGCGGGGATTCGCCACCGGGGGAACGTACGACTGGGCATACCCATTGCTCCCTCCATGTGTCAACTGCTGCAGCGGCGGTAGCGACTGCAAGTTCGGTTGTTGCTGCTGCTGCTGCTGCTGGGAGACTCCCTTGGCTTGAATCGCCTTCATGAGGATATCAACCTCAGTCGAGAATTCAATATCACCAGGACTAGGGTTCTTTGTCTGAACTGCCGTATTGTTGGTGGATGCTGGGTTTGCCAGACCCGGTTGCGGACCAGCGTTGTGCTCCGCCTTCATCACAGGTTCTCTGGCCACCCTGTTTACGGCATTTTTGGCAGGTCGGATATCTGGGACCTGCTGTATAGATGGCGGCTCTGATGCGAGCCGCATGGGCTGCGTGTTCAGCTGCTGGTTTGGGACGAAGAAGTGTTGGTAGCCCGGGTGGTGGTGGTGGTGATGGTGGTGGTGCTGCTGCTGCTGTTGTTGTTGCTGCTGCTGCTGCTGGGCATGGTGATGATGGTTGCCGAGTGGATGGCCAAAGCCGTACGTCGCAGAAGAGGGCGGCTGATGAAATGGCAATGGGAACGAGGCTGTTGGATTGCCATAGAAGGAAAAGTTATGACCGAGGCCGGAGCCCATCATCCGGCGAGACGCAACAGCACCAACAGGGTGGCCGGGAAACTCGTATGATACCGGCTCTGCGGTCTCCATTGGGGCAGGTCAATACGAAGTTTACTGCTGCGATGGCTATATCTTGATTGTTGTTTCGCTGGTGATGTGGCATGCGACTTCAGGGAGAGCAGAGGGAAGAAGTCGATCTGGCACTTGGTATCAGCAATGAGACTCCCACCATGAAGGAGATGCTGAAGCTGAATGATCGTCTTCCAGCCGAGATGTTCTTCAGCCTGCTTTGCTTTATGCTGAAGAAAAGAAGCAAAGGGAACGGGAACAAGCAAATAAGATATAGGGTATCGAGTCAATATCACGATCAGGATCCAGCACGATCAGTATCTTAAAAAACAAACATGAACTTCGTCGCGAGGAAACAAAGAGTGATCCAAGGTCTCCACTCCCTGGCGGAAGTCGACCCGAGTATATAAAGCTGTCAAACCGGAGCCACAACAACGCACCGCAAGAACCCGAAGCAGAATAAGAGGAGGAAGAATGCTCACAGGCAGTCCGGAGTAAATCAGAAGAGGAGAATCGCAAGGCCGATCTTACAAAGTTGACAGGCAGTGACAACAACGAGGGACTGTAAGTAGTGTGAACGGACAAGTTCAGACTGATCTCAAGATGATCCCGACAATGGGGATCGCTAATAAGCAAATACGATCCACTGAGTTTGTTTTATTTTATTATTTTCTCATGGTAAGAAAAGCGAATGAAATTAATCCGGATTAAAAAAAGAACATTGTTTACTTTTTCGTTGGGTTCCTTGCACCCTGACGCCTCTTTGGTAATGGCGATCTCGAACGAGATATAGTACGATGTACACTTTTTTTTTCTTTTTCTTTTTTTTTTTTTTTTTTTTTTTTTGCTTATCCGCCTCTTCCTTCCGGTGTCCCAGAGCAGTGGAAGCAGCGGGGAGGGTCCATGACAGGGGTGAGCCCTGTTCGCGGTATATCACTGCTTGATATTGTGGTCCTCGAGTCGACACCTCCTTTTCCGAGGGTGTCGAGTCCTATATTTCAGTCTGCCCGTCACCTCAGCAAAGAATAGGGGTAAGAATATGCATAATCAACCAAAAAAAAAAAAAAGAAATAAGGCAGAAAAAGGAAGAAAAGAGCTTGTAAAATCATCACCAGTTCACCACCTTTTCGTTAATATTAGCTTTTATTTTCTTTTTGGCTGGGCCCCCACAACTAAGGGGGATGTTGATTGACAGAGGCAAGACGTAGTTCCAAGACAGGGCTAGTGACAAGCAGCTAAGCTGGGTTAAACTAGTCTTCCCCGGTGCCTTAAACCCAAGTTAATCCCCCCCAGCATCCACCAACGTTCACGGCCCCGAATGAGGTTTTTTCTGCTTCCCGCCCAACACGATGGGGCGATGGAAAGGCGCCGATTATTGCATCTGGCTGGAGGATCATGGACCACTTTCTTCTTGGTTCCAAGGCCAATCACGGCATGCAGAGTGACGTTCCGATCGGGCTGACACTCACGCGCGGTTGTGACCACAGTACTGAGTCCTCCGTCCTCCGTACTTGATAGTAAGTACTCCGTACATACCTCTGTCTCGCTGTCTCGACGGAGGAGGTCTGCGGCAATAGATCATCTTATTTTTGCCAAATCCCAAACATGGTCGTGGCTCAGGAAAGAAAATAGACGAAGACGTGGGGAAAAAAACATCTAAAACTACAAGTTCAGGATAGCTCGATCCATCTCGATCATCTGACCCAAGTGGATGGTGGAGCGGAGCTTTGATGCAGGCCAATTGAACGAGCAGAACGTGGACTGCGTCCAGCAGTTTGTTCCTGACGGGTAGGGTTAGGATCGTCATCGTTGGACAGAGCTCTTCACACCTCTGGAGCTGACAGGATGAGGACTCCTCTGACTGGGATCCCCCCGTCTCCCACGCAGGCACCTGAAGTGTTGGGAACCTCGCTTTGGGGGTTGGTTTCGTCACCGTGGCTCTGGCAGGCAGATCGCCAGCCATCATCACCTGGACTGATGGAGATCGGTGTCATCGACTTGTGAGTCGGCGCCGAGCGGAGAATACGCTCCTTTTAATTCTCTGGGATAAGAATAAGATCGGAGATCGAAAAAGAAAATCAGGCTTTGGCTCCTCCTCTCGACGGCAGGGTTCTTCTGGCTTCCACACCCTGCATCGGGATGTTCAATGCAACCTCGGAGCTGAAGGTACTGCTCAGACTGGCTGCATCTTGCAGGATGCCCGAGAGCTCCGGAAGGTTGAACCCGGTGCTGGCTGAATTGAGCTGAGCCGACTGGCATTGTTGAATGAGATGAATGACACAACTCTGACACCTTGCCTTGAGACGTGGACGTATTTCTGGGCATCTCGAAACTCCAGGACTTTGGGATGGATAGGGAACTGCGCAGTACTTCTGCTAATTAACTACTAATTTCAATTACATCGATAGCAGGGTTTGGCCAGGCTAGTGGACGGACCGCCGGGCGGGACCCATTCATCATCAAATAGCGTCAGAGCCCCGTCCACGTTGATTCGCCTGGTGGTCCCCACGGCCGCTGGGAACCAGGGAAAGTTGATCGCAGCAGCCGCGACTGGCGACCCAGAAATCCAGCCTCGAAATCCAGCATGGCAGCCTTAAGCCTCGCCCCAGGCTGGCCCCTCCTCCCCCCACCCACCACATCAGAAAAAAAAAGAAATATCACACTCCTGCAAGATTTTCTTTTTCTCTGTCAACATTGAACAGCCTCCAAATCCAAACTGACAGTTGTAGTGCGACAGGTTCTTGAAGAGTTATTTTCCCCTCTTGGCGCTTTTTCACGACCACGCGCTTCGTTTCAAACCTACGGGATCAATGCCGTCTGACTCCTCATCTTCCAAGGTCTGCTCAAGAACGCGTCACTACCTCAACGTGGATTGAATTCTACCGCCTCGCCAAGAGTCTCAACCTTCCAGATCGAGGAGCCTCCAGCGACACAATCTGTCAAGGCTGAGTCCAGAGTTGATGTGTGCATGCTGATGCAGATGGCTGGACCACTAATTTAGCTTGCGCCAGATCCCAGCGTCCGATCACTCCTAAGCCAATCGTTATTGGATGGTTGGAATCGGTCGTCTCGATGGAGTATGGGGTACAAAGGCAAGTTCGTGCCCCCAAAAAAGTGAACAGGATCCCCGACGGGGACTTCCGACGAGGAAGGAAAGCCAGCCTGCTGTTGCCCATGACGCCCAGCTCGATTGAAAATCACCACCAGGGGCTCAACCCGATGAGCGCGTCCGCAGCATCGCATTATCTCACCCCCATGCGTAGCATTGGCGTCCCCAGACCTGACTGGAGTCCACAGGCTGGCACATGCTCTCGTGATGGAATATGCATCTTGGGTGAAACAGGACAAGATCATTCATGGACAGAGCCACAATCAGTGTAACACAACTTTCGTGGCTGAGTCGATATTTCGACCCTTCGGGGTTCTCTCGCATCAGTCCTGGCCCCTGAGCCATAGATAGCGCTCTTAGCCACCATGAGGATGACTACAATGTATTTTTTTTTTCTTCTTCTTCACCGTCGAGGAACGGGCCGGCCCATGACCTTGGGTGGGTGCAATTCACCATGGACATTGGTTCTGATCGTTTGGCACTCGAGAAAGGTATACCATGGCCAAACTAAGTACTCCAGACTAATGATATATATGTGGAGCTGTAATCACTATTTGACAGGGAAATTCAGCCGCTCGCGTCTGACTTCATCTTGCGAGGGCTTGAATCTCAGACAAACGAGGCGCGTTCTCGGTCAATCGACCGCCACCAGGGGGAACCCATGGTCTTCAAGGATTGCCAGTAATACTGTGTACTCTGGTCCACAAACGCCAACGCTGTCTGCGGGCTAAGCTATTGCTCCTTCAAAGGTCTTCGTTCTCCAAAGTACCATGGTGGATCATGTCTCAACGGAATCGATATATGTGCACGAGATCTGATGGAAAATCCGCGGTTATCATCAATGGTACCTGATGATCCTGATCTGCACTCAGCTCAGCTGTACTGGGAGAGAGCGCTGTGGGAGGAACGAGCAGACATATCACAATTTTTTCTGTCTCTCAGGTACTGCAGGGATTAGTCCCCGCGGTCAACATGATCTTCTCAAGTCAGCTAACACTACTCCGTACCGCACTACTATTGTCTGTCGAGAACGCGCCGATGCCTTTTGATTTTGAGGGGGCTCTCGATTCACGAGCCCGCCAAGGTTCAGCAAACCCTCAGCGCGCCCTTGAGGTGAACCCCAGACAAAAGCACACGAAAGTGAGTCAAACATGCAATATTGGGCGATGCCAGGCTACTCCGTAGTCTCCGCAATTCCACAGCTCCTCGTTTCGCAACGTTACTACTACTGGATGCTCTTCAATAGTTCGCCTTGAGTGTGATCGAGACCATAATGCAGCTACCCCCCATTTCATCACACTGACTTGGCCCTCCTCTGCCCTTATTGATCGCAGTTGCTCTGACTGGCTCTAACTGGATCCAGTATGGAGGGCCAGGAGTTCGTCACCCGCAAGTCATCTGCAATTGCCACGAGATGTAATGTACACGTCCAATCGTCGATAATAATGGCCCAGATCTCGAACTCGACTGTAATGGCTCCGGAAATCTGACTGCAATACAGTCTGCACAGCATCTCCCAATTTCGGGCCTGTGAGTGATGTTTGCCATGAGATACTGAGGCAACGAGACACTACTGAAGGCTGATGACTGACTATCAGGGCTAAGCCATCAAGAAAACCAAGTACAAAGCCGCAGGCGCCTCCAATTTTGGACTATATACAAAAGTACCACTGCCTATGTACAGACAAGAATTCTCGGCACAAGACCACCTTTGCAAACAGGGGGGGATGCTAAGACCTGTCATCCTTTACAGAAATAAACTATTGGTCGCAAGCTCTCAGCCAATGATTACGTCCTTTTAAATCGCCCTCGGTCAAGGAGACACAGGCTATCTCTCCCACACAGGATCATGGCGCCTTGACCAGGTAAGCATTACTTTTCTGAAACGAGTATAAGATGTCGCTTTCTGCGATCTGACTAATATGAGCGTAGATTCATCTGCCAAAAGAAGAAGCCAATGGGACCCAAGTCAACGACAGAGATGCGCTGCCTGTAATTCCGTATGTCGCTTAATCTGCAGGCCCATCAGTGCGGATGCTTTGCCTGATGGTAAGATCGCAGACGGTGTCCACATCATATGCAGGATTTAGCGCTCTTCGTGACCATTCCTACATAGCCTGTTCAGTCACGAAGTTATCGCGATCTGGAATTAGGGATCCTTTCTTTTGGCTGTAAAAGCTGCATACATAGTGGCAAGTTGCTGACCCATAGTTCGGGGGTTATATTGCAGCCAACTACGGATCTTGTCATCCCACTGCACTAAAGTGCCATATACGTCAGCTCGAGCCAAGTTCAGTTCCAATTGCAAACAATAGTGAGAATGAATGTCAATGTTCGTGACCCGTCCTTTGCAGCCAGCAGGTAAATGCCGTACTCTGCTACAGGCCCTGACCAGCCGGATGATGTTACCCTTGTTCATCCCTTTATAGCCTACAACTCGGGGAGGGAAGTCCTACCAGGACAAAAATAATCAGCATTTTTCTTGAGCCTCGAGGTCGGAAGTTAGTACATCCTTGATTTGAATTGTTGCTTTTTCCTTCCCGGTCCCTCATGCACAACAGGCGCTTGCTACTGTACATCTTGCTCACATGGCCCTGATCCTCAAAAGCTCTAGTGTCCTTTCGACATGCCTCGAGAAAAGAAAAGGGGGTGGGTGGGGGTTGGGGAGCGCTCGGCTCATTCGAGTGATAGGAGTGATACTGATGCGGGATACTGCTGAAGGCTGATCTCATGCAGATATGCATGCACCAAGACACCATTGCCGAGATTGCCACTCTCTAGTACTCCGTGCGACAACGTATAAGTCGATCATGGCCTAGTTCTGACAGCAAACTCGAGGGATCTCGGCTCCGGAGCATTTGTGAGATCGGGATATGGTCTCATGGTGGTCTGAGCTCAATCGATCCTCCAGAACAACCACGCTAACGTTGAACAAGATGGTCCAGGCGAGGGCGACATCTGTCTTCAATCGTCGTACCATTGATACACTTGCTGGCGGCTGGCCCAGTGAATAGCTATCCAAGTTACATATGTGAGGTTCACGCCGTAGTACTAGAGGGTAAAGCCGGGCCGTTTTGTAGAGATGCAACGAGTATGTCATGATAGAGAGGAAAATATTTGATCTTCATTCGGCTTCCAACTAGAAACAGTAATGACGCAGCCCAACCATATACAGGCCGTCTCCCTGTTTTTCATTCGAGGATTCCCGTGATCGCTTGCCTTCAGTGTTATCATAAACAATACCGCACAGCTCGAAAACAAAATCCACACATTGTTAGGAAGTTGAGATAAGAACTAGTAAATGTGTAGACAAGACAGGACAATGATAACTCTGCCATTTTTCGCCCAACTCATATATTGGCAAGTACTGACGACGAGAATGTGGAATACGTACGCAAAAAGGATAATAGAGAAACGAAAGATTAAGGAACCACAGTAAAATCGAAATCACGTTGACGCCGAAGCTTTCCCAAATCCAATCATCACCGTCCAGTGTAAGGGGAATATCTTGACAACACACCCAGTTAGCCTTTGTTCAGGTAGCAAGAATGTTAAGAGTATGGGACATACCTCCAGATTCGTGCACGCATGTCACCGCTGCCGGTGGCGAAAAGGTTGCCTGTCGGGCTGGGGGCCACTGAGATGACTGTTTGGGACATGTTAGGTACATCTTTTCTCGAGCAAAACGATTTGAGCATCTCTCGGGGAGACGAACCTGAATTTTTATGTCCCTGGAGCATCATCTGTGCATTTCCAGTGATGGGGTCCCAGAACTGGACGCCTCGGTCCTTGGAGCCGCTCATAACCCAGTGGCCATCGGGAGTGAGGCAGACGCTGAGCACAAAGTCCTAAAACACTCACGGTCAGTATCTTTTGAGATTTGAAAAAAAAAAGCAATGTATTCATTACCTTGTGGCCTTCGAAAGTCCGCACGCACTTGCCGCTCTTGCTACCGCCGCCGTAAGAGCGAGGCAGGTTGAGCTCCCAAAGCTTGATGGTCTTATCAAGACTGCCACTGACAAGGTCCTTTCCGTTGGGCGCAAAAGCAACAGAGTACACACTGTCTTTGTGGCCGTCAGGATTCTCGAGACGCTCGACAAGATATCCGGAAGTGGTGTCCCAGACTCGGACACTCTTATCCAGAGAGCCGGCGGCGACATAAAGGCCATCTGGAGACATAGCCACGGTGGTGACACCATCTTCGATGCTGAGGGTGTAGACAAGCTTGTTTTCAATGATATCCCAGAGGCGGACGGTCTTGTCCCCGCTGCCAGAGGCAATGTACCGGCCGTTGCCTGCAAAGTCGAGGGAGTAGATATCCTGCTCGTGGCCAGTGAAAATGTGCTTGATGCTCCGAGAACTAATGTCCCAAACCTATTGCGGCACATGAAATTAGTCAAACAAATGGCGACAGAAAAAGAAGAAAAGAAGAAAAGAAAGAAAAAAGGGGACTATCAAACTCACTCGGATCTGCTTGTCCTCAGCACCAGTGGCTAGGTATTTGCCATCGGGGCTGAAGCAAACACTGCGGATATAGAGATCGCCGTTCTTATCGACATTCTCATCCTGCAGAGTCGCGACGTTTTGACCAGTGTTTACGTCGAAGATCTGGGCAGAACGATTGCAGCCGGTTGCCAGGTATTTACCATCGCGACTGAAGCGCACGCAGCAGACAACACTGTCGTGAACCAGATGATGGACAAGGTCGATATCGAGCACCCGTTGCACCTCTGGGTTGAAGACAGCATACCAATCAGCACCTTCTTTCTTCTGTGAAGAAGGCAAATCATCAGGGTTCCAGTTGGCCAACATATTGCCAGGACGATCGCGTATAGCCGCTTGGCTTGTGGGTGTAGGCCTGGCAAGTTCAGAAACGCGCGAGTCTGGGTAAGCTAACTGATGAGCCTGCTGAGGGGTGGCGGGGGCAGGAGGAGCCCGAGGACGTTTCCCAGGTCCAGGAGATGCGGCGGAAGGAGGAGGAGGAGGTCCATATCCTGTATCAAAAGAGCAAATTGGGGTGGTCAGATGTCAGATGCACCTATCTCGAAGAGAAAATAAAATACAGTCACAACATACCGTTCACAGCAGCGCCAGGCTGATATCCTCCAAAAGAGCTCTGCGGTGGTTGCGGTGCTCCAGGCTGAGCCGCGGCGGCAGGCTGTTGAAGGCTATGCTGGGAAGGCTGCTGATCCTGGGGAGGGGGAGGGGCAAGACCGGGGCCACTACCTCCTTGATTGGCCATGATACCACCAAACAGATTGCTTGGCCCGTGGCCCAATGCAGGCGGGGGAGCCTGAGAAGGGCCGGAATGCTGTGCAGGGCCGCCAACATGAGAGGCAACGGGTTGGACGCCACGCGATTCGAGCTCGTGTCGCAACATCCGGATTTCGGCTTCATAACTGCAAAGTGATACAAATGTCAACTACCTACGTGTCGCTGACACAAATCAATACAACAATGCAGGAGAAGCGTACTCTTGTTTCATCTTGATCTGCGCTTGCTCAAGCTGGTAGACTTTTTGTCGAATCATCTCCATTTCCTGGAGCTGTCCGGTTACTACGATAAATAAGTGCGTCAGTGGAGCTCCGTCGCAAGATGGGATTTTTGAGGCGCGACGCAGGATCAACACGCATTCAGCCAGCATGACAACAACAGCAACAAGATGGATGTCCAAAAGAAGGCAAATCAATAAAGAGGGTTCACGTACACTGGTGTTCAAACTCGCCAGTACTCCTCGACTGGTTCTCGAACTCCTGGCGCAACTGATCCAGCAATTCATTCAAGCGGGAGTTGGGGGCAGGAACCATCCCGCGATGTGTGTTGTACATTGTGTATAGCGGTTGTGAGGGTCTGCGCCCGACCAGACGAGGAAAGACTAGTTAGGAGGCAGGAAGGTGGTCAATGCAGCCGCATCCAGCGCACCCCTTTGGAAAAGGAGCTTGCGACGACGGACGAAACGTGAAAACCGGAGAAAAAAAGGCTCGAAGCAAAAGTTGAGAGACACGCCGGAGATGCGGCACGAAGCAATTGGAGAAAAAGGCGGTAATGGACGGGTGGTGGAAGATGGGTAGGATGAGGAGAGGTCCGGATCGGTCGAGTTGAGTTGGGTTCAGTTCGGAGATGCAATCCTCAAAGGCGGGCGGCTGCGCTCTTGGCTGTTTGGCGCCGGAAGCGAGATTGTAGCCTAGACGTGGAGGCGCTTACTCGGAAGTAGACGCCATTTTGCCACATTGCGACTGTGTCTAACGCATATTTAGCTGACTAATAATACAGCGCCACAGACGTGGGGAAACGGCTGTTCCTATTCCGCCTGGTGTGATTCCGAACTCGGCTCTGATAGGCTGGTGAAATTTATTTAGTCCCTGTGCCAGACTCTCCCTTGGTGAAGCTCCTGAATCTTGCTCTCGTTCTCCTCTCTCTCTCCCTTTCCCCTCTCAGATACATACCACCACTCACCTCCCGTTCCGTAGCTCCCGCGCGTCATGGATATCGCTCTTGAGATTTGGGACACCCTTATCGGGGACCGTCTCTATTCGGCGCTCCTCCCTACCTCGCTGTCCTCCACCGTGTCCATCCCAGGATTCCCGACGGCGACCAACACGACATTGTCTCTCTTCGGCGCATCGAAGCCCTTTGTCTACGAACCTGCTACCCAGCTCATATATCTCGAACCTTCCGAATATGCCTACCTCAGCGCCTGGCCTCGTAACAATATCTATCGTCAATTCCTGAGTTTCTTCCTGATTGTCTGGTATGCGACTCCTCCGTCTCGGTCTGTTCCATCGCTAATGCTCGCAAAAATGTAGGATCTTTGGATTCATAGTCTACTTTATCTCCGCAACACTCTCGTACATCTTCGTCTGGGACAAGACGACCGTCAAGCACCCAAAGTTCCTCAAGAACCAGATCCCCATGGAAATCGCGCAAACCATGCGATCAATGCCAATCATGTCTCTGTTGACTGCCCCCTTCCTGGTTGCAGAGGTCAGAGGATACGCCAAACTCTACGATACTTTTAGTGAGGAGCCATTCCCATACTACAGTATCCTACAATTCCCATTGTTTATCGCATTCACCGACTTCTTCATCTATTGGATTCACCGCGGGCTGCACCACCCTCGAGTCTACAAGACTTTGCACAAGCCTCATCACAAGTGGATCATGCCTAGCCCGTTCGCCTCCCACGCCTTCCACCCAGTCGACGGCTGGTCCCAGAGTGTCCCTTACCACGTGTTCCCTTTCATCTTCCCCCTGCAGAAGGTGGCCTACGTTATCCTATTCGCTTTCATCAACATCTGGACTGTAATGATTCACGATGGCGAATACGTTGCCAACTCCCCAGTCATCAACGGTGCCGCCTGCCACACAATGCATCACCTCTACTTCAATTACAACTACGGGCAGTTTACTACACTGTGGGACCGCATGGGTGGCAGCTACCGCAAGCCAAATGAGGAGCTTTTCCGCCGTGAGACAAAGATGGGCGAGGATGAATGGAAGAGGCAGACCAAGGAGATGGAGCACATCCTCAAAGACGTGGAAGGCGACGATGACCGCAAGTACCTTACGGACGAGACAATCAAGAAGAATTCGTGAAACCCCCAAATTGGGTCACACGACCAGCCAGAGAGGGGGTTTTCACGGGGACTGAGCGAGAAGCACATTGTCTGCTTCTGGGTTCCCTCGATTCCATTCTACAAAGATCACTTTTCACATATGGAAGTGAATCACGAGATTGACGTACAACATTTCCTCCCTTCTTACCCTTCATTGTTTCCTTGCTTGTCCTGCTTTTGTGATCTCACTGCGGACGGCCCTCCTTCTTATTACCTTTTTGTGTAACACTAATTTTTAGTATTCATATTAATCATGCTGGCGAGAACATTGTTTCCACATTCAACGCGCGATCGCGCGTATGAATTCTGTTGATTTCTCGGAAAATGACGACGATACAGGGGTGGCGTCTTGGATTTTCTATTACACTTATCTACCGTCAAGGCGATCCGGACGGAATGTACATAACTTGATTGAAGACGAGGTCGTGAAGTTTGATACACATATATAATAGTAATAGAGAGCAGATAACCTAGGGAACTGCAATCAAGGGTGACTACCCTTGGTTGGATTAAACCCAATGTTCAACTAATCTTCCCGATTTAGTAGCTAGATACTTTTGCATTATGTTTTCTGCTCTTCACTAATTTAACGTGAGAAAGATCTGGCTGTAAACACGGCTTATGGATACAGAGCACATGGGATGAAACAAGCCGGGCTAAAGAGTACATGGAAGCAATATTACAGCGACTATCCAACGAGGCATACGTATGGACGCCGAACGAGCCATAGATCGACAACAAGTCAGCATCACAAGATATCATCGGCAGTCCCATCTGCATCCGCATCGGCAACATCCAAGTCTCCATCGCCCAGAGCGTCAGCGGGAGTGCTCTCCTCGACCGGGGCAGGAGGAGGCGTAGGCGCTTTGGTCCCCACAGGGGTCGCGTTGGCCATGGCATCAGTGATGTAAGCTTCCTCGACGGCGGCCTTGCGACGGAACACACGGAGCCAGCGCTTACCCCATTGCCGGATGATTTCGTCCTCGGGTAGGTCGCCGCTACCATCGCCGCGCTCCATCAGTTGGTCGTTGCTGCCGCCGGCGACGGAGACGACAGAGTCCTCAATCACCTGGAAGAGCGAATGCATGTCCTTTTTCTCGCGAGTGAGTGTTTCGTCAAGGACGCTGAGTTGGGGCTCATAGAGACCGGGTTGGGTGCGTGCGGCCACGATCTGGCGGAGGCGGTTGGTGACTTTTCCGACGGTTGCGGATATCATCTCAAAGACGTGCGTCTTCGCGAGGATCGCGCCAGCCTCGAGTTTGTCGACCAGCGCCCATTCGATGACGGAGAGGGGTGTAATGATTGTGTAATTGAGGAGTTTGTCGATGATGTTGATGCCGATGCCTGGCTGATCAACCCAGTACTCCATGACCGAGGTAATGATCTGGCGACGAGCGGCAGGGGACTTGGGTCCAATTGCCAAGAGGCGATCCTTGTTGCGCTCAATGCAGGAAAGGACGTGGGAAAGGGACTTGGACCCGACGAAGCATATGGCAGTGACAAATGCATCTGTTGAAGGTAAGATAGGACTTTCGACTCCTAGTGAAGTTGCCTGCTCTTCAATGGCAGTTATGAGGGGCTGAATCTCCTCGTCAGCCGCTTTTCTGCGAATGAGCTGCATAAGCTCCCTGCCCTCGTTCGCATAGGGTGTCGCTAGAAATGATAAGGTTAGCAGAGTTGGGCGGAGAGAAGATTCCGCACTTACTGTCTAACGAGTATTTAAAGTCAGGAGTGTCTTTCTCCTTGCCCTCTGAGATGAGCTCCTGGTACGGGTCCGGGAGTGTCCCACGAATGCGCTGCGCAAAACTTAGTCGGATCTCCTTGTCGAGTGCGCCGGTGATGAACGCCATGCGAGGATGCACGAGAGGAAGTTCCAAATCGTCAACCCTGGTTATAGTTAGTATAGCTCGTGAGAAAATAGACAAAAAAACACTAACCATTCGCTCCACTTCCACGTGAAACCAAAATTGCTCAAGTGGTGTGTGAACCAATCCAGGAACCGATGGCTCAGATCCAGATCAATTGAGTCGAGACTGCGATATAAAAAGCGAATAGCACGGCCCAAGCTAGGGGCAATCGCGGCCGGAGCGATCTTGCAGCATTCTGTGAGAACAGAGTGGTAATAGACGAGTTTGTGCTCCGGTGAAGGCAGCTGGAAAAGCTGTGAGAAAACGGCATCCACGGCCACATCCTCGGGCTTCCAAGTAGGGCGATCACCGGGTAGATCACGCAGTCTGTCGAAAGGAGTAGCACGCTTCACAAAGATGTTGGGTGTGAAGTAGCAGTCGAGATCAATCAGGAACTTGGCTGTCGCAATGCGATTAAAGTCCATGATATTGATGGTATCGACCAGTGCGTCCCTGAGTAGAGAAGAAGTGATGTCCGATGTTGGGGGCACCGTCTCAATGTCCTGGTCTTCATAGACGGACAAGTAAACCTCGGGGAAGATCGCCCTCGATCCGTTTCGCACGGGCTTCGGTACAGTAATATCTGGGAACGGATGCTTCGGTCCGTCTTCAAGACGCTTCGGCTCGTCATCGCCGTCCCTTACGTTGTTCCATGGCCGAGGGAGACAAGTCAACTCCCAACCACGCGTGGACTCTGCCTGTAGCTGGCTCTGAAGTAGGCTGATAACACTCGGAATGGAAGCTGACTTGTCGGACTCGGGCCCAAAGGGGTTTACCAGGTCCACAAGCGTGTGCGGCGTAGAAGCGATGATGTCGGTTTTCTCCAAGAGGCCAAGGGCGTGACTTTCAAACCCGGTCGCCGGGGAGGCCATGACGTACGGGATAGTGTAAAGGATGATTTTCACGAGCTCCAACCCGATCAACTATCCACCCACCACCAGGTTTTGTCAGCCATAGTCGAGCGTTTTCGAGAATGATCTTCCAAGAGAGCTACCTACATCTTCCGAAGACGCTGTTTGCAAGTCTACAGCACGAGAAAATAGTTCCTCTAGGATCGTAAAAACGCCATCCCCATCGAATATACACTGAAGACAACCCAAGAACCGAAGAAGTAGCTTGACTTCGCGCCAAGCGCCAGCATTGACATTGTGCTGGAAACGTTCCGCAGTGCGTTTCAGGACGTCGGCCACGAGCTCTGATTTCAAGGTGTTGGCTGTAAGAACGGTGGTTGCAATGAAAGGAATCTTCATCGGTTGTTCTAGAATGCTGTAAAAGAAATATTGTTAGTTTGCGAAACACTCCCGGTTGTAGCAATTTTCTTGAACCAACATACAGATCGAGAGAGATGTCAATAAAGTTATCTCTTAGCTCCTCATCCTCATAGTTCTCGGAGACATTCTTCGCAATGCTCAGAGCATCGTCCTCTGCTCTTCTGGCTGCCTGAGTCATGAGCGTGAGCAAGCGACCAACAAGCAAATCAATCGACCCATACCGATTCAGCGATTGTGAGAAGTTGCCGGCGGACTTTGACAACCAAAGGTTCCTCATATCTGCGTCGCTGTCGCCGGTCGTAATCATCATCCTCTGTAGAGAATCAAAAAAACACGTTAGCAAGCTGTATGGGACCGCATGGGTAGCTCAATCATGATCTCACCTCTGTAGCGCCGTTTGCGCCCACCCCTATGGCCATGGTTCCGACGGTCGTGGTCAGCCATGGATCTCGCTGTATCAAAGGCTGCGCGCCTATACAAGGCTTGAGCGGGACAAATGAGAGATAAATTCAAGGCCAATTCAGCACACTCGGCCAAGAGACAAATGTACCTGTCGGACTTACGCTTAGGTCGCGTACGTCAAAGCTGCAAAAACACCGGGAATAGCTCGGAAGACTTGTTTTTCCGATCCACGGATTATCTAACCCAGCTTCATCTCGAAAGCGACATGAAGATAATGCTATGAATTTCACTCTGCCTCTTCAAAAGATGCCAAGTCCCAAGTCCAGAGATGTATGATTTGAGTAAAACGACAATAATGAGGAAATCAAAATGTAAGCGACAGTATGCACACAGTATGCACATGGGACAACAGAAGGAAGTTCTAAAGCTGTAAGTCGGGGGGTAAAACCACCAACACCTATATTCAAAGCACAGTCACAAGTACACATTGATGTGCGTCCAAACAGGGGGAAAAGAAAAAGAAAAAGAAAATCATCATGATATCAAACCCGTGTAGGATCATCATCTTCTCCACATCTCTCCATAAAATCAGTGGCAATCTGTGTCCATGGCCCTTTCGGGATACAAGTCTGCATAGCGTATCCCCAAAGGCTGACAGACTCACGCAGAAAGGGTATCACTTTTATCCTCCCAAGAGCTGCCTCAGACACCTCCATAACTCCAGGCTATGACCATCGCACCAATCTCAGTACCCCGTTCGTATGAACACGCGAGGGGTCCACTGCGTCATATAAGAACTTTTTTTTCGTCGTCAAAAAGGTTCATCATGCCTCCCTTTCCCTTGTCCGAATGATCTTTTTTTTTCTCGCTTTTTCGAATGCTTGCATTTTTGTCTTCCCTCGAACCCGATACACAGAAGCCAGCTCCCGGATGCCTCGCCAATTGATTAGGTCTACAGATGTAAATAAACCTCTGCTAGTTCAAAAACCACCAGATGCATGGAAATGAAGGTGGACGGCATGGCATCAAATATTCGCGCATATGTGCATGTGCACCTGCACAACGAAAGGCGTGTAGTTTGTTAAGCTCCGTACCAAGTGACTCAGTCAAGGTGGGCCATCATCTCCTCTTTTGTGAGAGGCTTAAAATCGTCAATATATAATCCGCGGGCTTCAAGCGCGGGCCGTGTATGGGGGGGCACCAGCCGGTTGTTCATCGCAGGTGCAATTGAAAGTTCTACCGTTATCAGTACGTTGATTCAATCTAGTCGGACTAGGTAAAAGGATGCGTACCATGCCTGGAAAAGTCGAAGAGATTGGGAAGATCCCTGACCGCTCCGTTGGGGTGCCGCGAATCCGGTAACCGGGTGTTGGGGTCCCTGAGTTCGTCGAAGAACGGATGGCACATGGCTTCGATAGCAGAGAGACGCTGAGTGGGTGTGTATTCCAGCAACGCGGAGATCAAATCAATAGCCTCGTGCGGGGCTCGTCGGAAAACCTAAGACCATTAGCCATAAGAAGGTTTGGTGATAATTGGATGGCCGACCTTGTTAAAGGGGTGTGGCTTGATCTGAGGGAATTTATGTTCCATATAGTTGGGGTTCATTGTGCGGATTTGCTCCCGTGTCGGCGTACCAAGAACCTTGATGATTTCGACCAGTTGATCGATACCTGACTCTCCGGGGAAAAGCGGTTGCCCGAGCATCAATTCTGCCATCACACAGCCGGTAGACCATACGTCTTATTTAAGTTAGCATGAACAAAGGTGCGTATGAGAGGACTGGAGAGCAATTTACCAATCTTGGTTGTATAATTCGTGGCACCGAAAATCAACTCTGGGGCTCGGTAGTAGCGAGAGCATATGTAGGACACGTTTGGTTCGTTCTCAACCAGGATTTTGGCGGATCCAAAGTCGCACAGTTTCAGGATACCAGTGGCGGGGTCGAGAAGCAAATTTTGCGGCTTGATATCACGGTGACAGATGCCTTGTGAATGGATGTATGCCAGGGAGCGGAACAACTGGTAGATATAGAGCTTCACCTCCAACATGGGCATGGTCGTCTTTAGTTTGTTGAAATACCGAGATGCCCGATAGACCGTTTCCGGCACATATTCCAAGACGAGGTTGAGGTATACTTCGTCCTTCTGTAGGTCCACGTTTGTCAGTTATCAGTGATTTATAAACAACATGAAGCGGAATGAGAACGTACTCTCTCGCCGTTTGAGTAGTAGAAAGCCTTGAGCTCTACGATGTTGGGATGGCGGACAATCCTCATGATCTGCAATTCACGATTCTGATCACAAAACAAGTCAGCAATCCAAAGCACCAAGCCAAGCGATCGCGGCAATAACCCCATACCTTGAACCGCTTATCTTGAAGAACCCGCTTGATGGCAGCATCTTCGCCGCTGGGCATCATTTTGGTCTGAAAGACGACGCCAAACGACCCATTGCCGACGATTTTACATTGCGAGTATTGTATCTCTTTCGTTTCCCCTGTTAGTCCATCTTGGACTTTCTCTCGGACGACTTCTGTGCGATCAGAAGGAAATAGGCAAAAAGTCAGCGATCGAGCCTGATAGCAATTGCAACCGAAGGGACGGCCGGATCCTTACCACCCATGCGCAAGTTGGAAAACACCCCAGACCGATTCTGTGACATCACGGAGGAGTTGAAGAATAATGTGGAGAATTAGGTACCGATGCTATCGAGAATATGGAGGGCTGGACTTTAATAGCGGATGGCGGGAAAGGACGTAGAGGTAAGGTGTGAGGTCCGTTTTGGGCAGATTGTGGCCGGTGGAGCACGAGTTGGGAGGGGTGCGTTGGATGGGCGGAGCGTCCGAACGGAGGAAGATGAGTGGTGGGCGTGAGACGAAGAGGTTAAAGAGCACCAGACTTGCGGACAAGCGAACCGCCAGAAGGCTAAGACCAAGGGCCAATGGACTTGAGTATGGTGCCAAGAGGTGCAGACGCAAGGCCAGGGAGCGCTCCTAACGGGAGAGGTCGACTGAGGTGTGTCGGGTAGATAGTGGGTAGATAGGCGGCGGTTCTCCTTTTGGGGGAGGGGACCAAGTAATAAAGGAGGAGAGGAGGGGAAACAGAAGAAGTAGAGAAAATAGAAGGAGGAAAAAAAAAAAATTGGGAGAGATAATTCGAGGAACAGGAAGAGCAATTAAGTCACGACGAGCCAGACAGAGCAGGGGAGATGCAAAGAAGGGTGGATTTACGGGTCAGGTATTATTAAAAAGAGGATGGGTCGGGGGAGAGAGGAGGAGTTGAGCAGGTGACGTTGATGGAGCGACGAAGCCCAAAACACGCGAGAGGGCTGCAGGAACACGGGAATAAAGCACCGGGAACGAGAGGGAGGATGGATGATGATAGCAATTTCATTCAAATATACCACCTTTTCGATCGACGAAGTCTGAATCTCAACAAGCTGGAGAAGTTGACGAGAAGAAATCTCAGCAGGAAAAAGCAAAGATGGTTCAAGAGCATGAGGGAAAAGCAAAGTGACGAGGGTCCGAATATCTGGGATTTTGGGGAGGGGCGGAGGTGGTCTACACCTCGACGGCCGACTGAGTGAATTAGTGAGGGCTGGGGAGCAGTCTAGCAGCATGGAGCTGTGGCAGTGTGTGGAGAGGCAAAAGGATAGGAAATCTAGCTCCTATTATTCGCATCGCCTGGATTGAAGGATTTCTGTTTATGGCCGCCGGCATAAGGATAGCAAATTTTACACAGTAGCGTTGGTTCTTAAGATAATAAGGAAATGCACGACTCAGTCGGCGGGCAAGGAGTGGTCTGTCATTTGCGAGGGCAACATGACCAGGTCGGTACATGATTACATGTATGCTCACTTGCCCGTGCTGTTTGGATCGGCTTCAGCTTCAAGTTCCAGCTTGTCAACTTGCTCGATCCCGACTTCTAATCTCAAGGCCGCAGTATGGAGGAGTAAGGTAGTGGGAGTGATACGGAGTACTGATCATGGAAGTCAAAAAAGAGGGGTTCATCCAAGTAGGACCTCGTACTGTTTGTGTAATTACATGACAATACCGAGGTCATGGGCTGAAGTTCTGTGCTGAGTTGGTATGACGCTACTAGGGGAGGAATTGCCCTTACCGAAGCAAGGTAACTGCTTCAACACCCATGGATACAAACAGCATGTTGCTCGTGGAGAGGTCCACTCGAGGTCAACGTGGAAGCCGCCGCATTTATACGTTTGAAGCTGAGTGTAGGACAGCCTTTTGAGAGCAAAGTTGTTGACCAGAAAAGCAAAACTCGAGTTATAAGACGATGCAGCGAGCTCAGTATGCATGACTGGGAAAGGTCGTCGGTCGATCACTCAATGACGGGAGCGGCTGATGTGGAACCACTCGAGATTGGGCGCAAGACACAAAGTGGGTAACCAATTAATGCACTGGGAGAATGCCCCATACGACCGACCAGATGACCACGATCCCAAGGGCTTTTACGCTGGAGTCTCAACGTTTGGTACCGGAATTCGGACATGGCCTCTCAAGAATGCCCCTCCGCTAAGACAGACGCTCGCCGCTCTGGGAGTTCCAGACCGTTTACCATTTGAGAGACAGGACTGCAGATTAGCCAACCGGAAGAAGTCGTTGTTAGGCGGGCAAAGATGCCAATTGTTGGCTGGGGCAATAGTTCAAGTTCAGATGGGGCGAGAGCTCGGGCCAGCTGGAGGGGAGCTCTCAATTGCCAAAATGTCCACAGTGAGTACATAGTACTACTCGGACTCGTCTCATTGTATAAATTTTGTCCTTCTCACACATTGAGCTTCAGGAATCTTGGATCGAGGCCAAGAGCCAACAAGCTACGACCCCCATATTATGACCTGCCCATGGAATTGCGTATCGCTGCTTCAAAGAACCAAACCCAGAGCTGCCAGTGTCATCCGCACTCTGTATCCATAGTGGAGCAGTTTACGACCAGCCCTGCTTACCTGAGCGTCCGGTGACAGAGCGGCGTGCCATGTGTTTGGCTCGAGTGTGTCAAGTGACCTGGCCTGGTTTTCGCAGAGGCCGTTCTTATTGGTTACTACCATTGCCTCCTCAGTATGGTCATGTACACTCTCGAACAATACGCAGTACGCAGGCTATACCTCCAGAACGACCACATATTTAGCCAGGATCTAGCCTTCCATCAATCCCCATATCCTACGGAGTCCTCAACGAAGCTGCGGAGGTTCTAGCCAGGGCAGGCAAGTCAAGTCCTCTTTGTGCTCCAGGAGTGGAAACGGGAGCTTCACCCCCTCCCCCAGGCGTAAACAAGCTACTAATTGCGGATAGTAAAGCCAATAGGTAGCTGCCACTGGCCAGCAGCCAACTGGAAGCTTCAGCACAGATGCTCAGTACCTTGACCTTAGTGGCGGTTAGCCTCGCAACTAGCAGGGTTAGTTTGATCAGAGCTTTGGCATTGTCTTGGTAAATCGAAGATATGACGAGCATCTCATGATGATCTCGAGCCAAGCAGGTTTGATGGCTTGCCCGAGTCTGCGAACTCGACAGCAGCCATCCGGAGGTGAGTGGCGATTTTTACTACTTGAGAAACGCTTTTTCTTTCTTCAGAAACGGCTTTCGTCTCTTTTGTGGAATGAGGCCAATGAGCGACAAACAAGGCTCGCGATTAAGGCAATAGCACGATGGGCCAACGCTGTCGTACCGATCGCAGGGATCCTACTACCTCTCCAGATATAATTGGTAAAGCAGGGTTTCCGTGATATTGTGCCGACGTACCTGAGCCCTGAGAAGACGAGATTTGAGCCATGCTGCAATAGCTCGAGAAAACCAGCATCATTGGTCCACCTACCAAGACCCTGAGATATATTAGGATTCCAGCCCTTCCAGGTGACTTTTCTTTTGAAGCGTGAATGACCATGTCAGACTTGTCGGAGTGGCCCTATTTAGCTCCGAAATCACAAATCGTGGCTGATCACCTGAAGCCAAGCAGCACAGTCCAGCTTACCAAATCCAGCTGCCATTGAAACACTAGACATGCAAGGTAGTCAGAATCGAGGCATTCCTGTCGGATACCATCCATACCAAGGCTTGCCCTTCGACATGCGTCGCTCGTTCGGCTCGTACATGCTATGTATGCTGCTGGGTTCTGGGCTGGTTCCATAAGAACAGCCAGTCAGCATATGCTGGTTGGATTCTTTCCCTTGCCTGTTAATCACGCACTTGTTGGGTTTCCCGTGCAGTGTATGCTTCTGGAACGTGCAAGCAAAGCATTATATGGTTGTTTCACTCGCCTTGTCTCGGGTGGCCCAGATTCTACAAACTGGAAAGCATCTAACTTTCAGGGGCAGTGACATGTCACTCTATCTTGATCCGAGCAGGAGACTCTGCCAGGAAATTCTCTTGCGTGCCGGCTGATACAATTGTCCATTTGGCTTTTCCAGCAGTAAGCAGATCTTGAACGTGGCCATTGCTTCCAGCTTTCGACGACACGTCCCTCATTTGGTATGCTCACTCGCTCGCTGCGCCTCTGGCTTGCTCACTTTGCGCGCAATGAGGTGAAACATTTCGCGCCGTGATTAATGCCTCGGCGATAACCTCGCCTCTCATATCATTGGCCACTCAGATTGCTGTAAAATTGACCTCATCTCTGCAGGCTGGGAAATCAGCTGCAATGGGCTGCTTCAAGCAGTACAAGGCCCGAGATAGGTACCAGGTCTTGGGGACAGGCACATCAAGCTAAGAACGGGTCTAAGATAAGAACGCGCCCCCAGGTGACAGGACAAACTTGCACTCTTATCCAGGCTTTCAACATTCGAGTCGTATTTTTTTCTTTTCCAAACTCAGGGGGCAAGGCAAGGGCATAGGAGGGCGACCGGCGACGGCAATCTGGACTTTTGTTGAAACCAGCCTTCCTCGTAACACGGCAGGTCCGAACTTTGCATTCATTGAACTCTGTTTATTTATATGCACATATCTGTGCATTCTTAGTACTCTGGGCCTTTGGATGCCCAATGATACATTTTTGTGGCTTGCTGGATATGGAAACCCAGGAAATACAAGTACGTTACTGAAACCAGATCCTTCGAAGAAACGCCTACCCCACTCTGGATCCCGCATGTCATGCCCGGCCTGTCGCGAGGCTGCAATGAATAATATATAAACGAGCAAAGAACGTGCTGTGGTTTGAAAACATCATATTTTCTTCCATAAACAAGTGAGTCTGACAAGAGTGACTGTGCTGATGCTGACGCCCAAGTAGTAGGATTCTCCACCTTTAACAGTTATTATGTCTTGTCAAAGCATTTGGCTTTTGAACCCTCGACTCGAAGCATTGCGGGCATAACTCTGTTTGGCTCGACTGGGGGATCCTCGGAAACTGGCGTCGAGCATCTCGAGCTAATTTGAGGCGCATAACTCCTTGTTTGCCTCATTCTTCGAGAAGACCTGACCTATGCATCGGCCAATGGCTACATGGAGTTCCCCGAATGCCGGTGAGGGTGGCCCGCGAGCATGTATGCCGTGTAGCATTATTCTCCAAAAGTCGGGTTCGCTAGGCTCGAGACGTAGTTGCAAGTATCTGGCAGTACACCGGAGTTCTTCTCCGTGACCAGTGTCAGCAGACCATTTCCCACCACTTTTGGGGTCACAGAGGCCTACAATATGATACTGGAGGGTCTATCTACACTGCTGCTAGTTGCTTTGTCCAGGCTGACCCGAATGGTTAGGCCTGATGAAATCTGGTTGAACAGGTGGATCCTCCAGCAACTGCAAATGATGATTGACAGGGACCAACCACGGTTACATGGTGCCGATACTCCGAAGCAAGTGCATCGTAGTACCTAGGAGTTGAGACAAATTGAATTGTCCGCACGCTTGTTTGCCTTGCTTTGGCTGAAACTCGATTGAAATGGAATCATGGAAGAGTTCATGTCCCTTGGCGTGTTTCGTTTATGCACGCCAGGAGCTGTATCATGCTTTGCCACTTCATGCACTAAGAATCTCTCTGCATGTAGCAGCACCTCTGACCGGGTGCTCTATGCAGCTGCAAGGACAGCGAATTGACAACAGACCCATATCTATGCTTTGAGAAAAGGCACATACAATTCAATATCAGGGTCGCCCTACTTGATAACTGCTACTCTGTCTATATCAACCATCAAGGAAAGCGTATAATATTTTAACCACGCAAATGGAGCTTTGTCGGTTCGCATCATTTGACTCAAGGAGTTGTACAGGAGCCTACTCAAACCAACAATATATATTCGAGACATATTCAGTAGAGCGGCGCCACCGACAGACTGTTACTCAACAGTCACACCTAAGTAGTGCTACAAGCAAAAGGATCCTGAGACACTTTTATCTATTATCAATCGCTACGGCCTGCGAAAGGTCCAGCGGCCAAGACGGTAGTATAACGTCTCGTCTGCCGGGAACCGTTGTCCGTTGAGAAGATTGGTCACACAGGGGAACACACAAGACTTGAAAGGCGTGCGCCACAGGCGGGCACCCAGTACCTCCAGACAATGAGATGTGCCTGTTTTAAATCGCGATCTGCGCTCGAGGGAAAAGAGAGATTGGTGGCACACTGTGCGGTCAGCACCCGATCTCTTGAAGCCTCAACTTCCCAAGCCTGCAGTAATGTAGCACATTCTGCAAATACACAGCATGTCTTTTGCCGTCTTCAGGTTGCCTGTGTCGCAGGCCTCCCGCTGCTGCTGCTTTTCTGACTGTTGGAAGAGACTCGAGAGATTGTCCGGATTACCGCATGTACCTCCTGATGCAAATGCCCAAAACTGACCCTCTCCGCCCTCCACTTTGTATACAGCATACGACAAGAAAAACACATACTAACCAACCCTTGATTGACCAAGATCATTCGACGGTTCGACTAGCGGAAAATCAAGAGAAACCCATTCCAAGCGCGCATGACATCATCGAGACACACCATACAGCGATTACGGGCCGCCGCTATCAATACCCCATCAGGGAGAAAGGTCACGGTGAGGTGGTTGTTGGCACCTAAATTTCGCCACTGGACTGTGGGACATCTACTCCACTCTTGAACGGCGAGTCCAGGCCCAATCTCGGACTTGCATCAGGGCAAGCCGAGAAGCCGCAAGTCGCTTCCAGGGGCGAGCCCAAGGACTTGACGATGTCGTCGTACATAATAGGCTGTATATGAGGAGGTAAGGCTTGGGTCAGGTGTCATGCATGCACAGCCTGATCTCACGCATATTCTTAGCATAACGCCTCCGTGGCGCTGATGTTTCTTTTGTCAAATCGTCAACCAAATGAATAATAAAATATGGGCGCTGAATGACCTCATTAATGAGGGCCTCCCAACATCTCGCTGAAATCCTGCGTCAGGAACTCGAGCGAGACTATAGATAGCTCAGTATACTAGCTACCGTTTGCGGCTAAAAGGCCTATGACGATGGGCGTATAGTAATGCAATAACAATGTGGGTTGTGCTAATGAGGATGGAGCACAGGGTTCTTGGGCAACCGGCAACGAGGGGCTCATTCAGTATCCATGCCGGAAGTCTGGAACCCATGGCGACTGCTTGTGTTGGATCGAGGTCTGCTTGCGCATCAACGATGATGAATGGAAGAGCAAACGGGGACCAGATAGGAAATTCTTAAGCCAGATTCAACATGTGTTTTACATTCCATCTATGATGCATAAATGAAGACGAAAGTTTTGACAAGTGCTCCCAAGCGTCCTGAGCAGTGCTCCATTGACCAGCCGGCGTTGTCATCACAAGGGTTAGTAACATGAAACAGGAACACGGGCCGCCGGTCATAGATGAAGCCATAAACAATAACATGAGAGAAATAAAAAGGATCTATACAAAATTGGTACCGTGGCGCCAAACGACTGCCTCCATTGACCAACAACCCGTACTGAAAGCGGAAGAACAGAGGGAATATACTATCTTCCAAAGATGCACACGGAGGGAGGAATAGCTACTAAAACAAATGGTGAAAGGGTAGGAGTTCCGAGACAAGGAAGAGCGATAGCTCTACCTTGGTGGAATAATCGTTCCGAGACAGGAAAGGAGATATAATTAGATTGATTAGAAGGGAGGGGTGACCATCTCCTGGGGAGTAGCCTTTTCTGACATCTCCATAACTTCCTCGCCAGCGATCTCGAGAGAGACAGCCAGGCCAAGCTTGGCGGATTGCTACAAACTTATTAGTCACAGTTCGAGTTCAGTTTGGAGGATTTACGTACCTTGGCCTGATCAATCTCACCAGCAAAGGTAAGAGCAATGGGCATGGCTATCCGCTTCTCGAGGAGACAGCTAACCTTGCCGGCACTATCGACCTGGGCTCTAAAGGTGGAAGCGCGGAAGTCGTACTTGGCACCAATAGCAGTGGTGCCGTCCTTGCTGGGCCCGCCCATCATCAATGCAGCCGCACTGGGAGCGAATTGAAGGTTCATGTCAACACCAGCCTCGACGCGCTCAGAGATCTTCTTCCAGTACGAGGCAGTGAAAACGCCCTGGGCCTGGAGTTGGGCGCTGGCAATCCAATCATCGCTCTTGTACCGAGCAGAGTATGAGATTGCAGACTCGGGGCGGGTGTTTAGGCCTTGTCGCTGCCAGATGGCTTCGAATCCAAGAGCGAGTTTAGGAGTGATGGACTGAAGGTAGCTTCCAACAAAGATGCCGGTAAGGCCACCATCCAAGCACGACGGGTTGAAAGCCTTTAGGGACAGGGAAAAGTCATCGCCGGTGTAGTCGTTGTCGAGCTGAATAAGACCTTGCTCAGCTCCGGCCATGACCTGAACATTGGTCTTGGTGACCAGCTTCGGGCTCCACCGGTAGTTGTAAAGAGCGGCAAGACCGCCGTCGCTTCCAAAGTTACCTTGCATAAAGACCTATATGATCAGCATAAACATATATACATCGTGGATTGGAAATCCTACCTTGGGAGTTCCGTACATGGCGGAGAAGGCGTAGGGAGCCATGTTTCCTGAACCACCCATAGAGAAAGCATGTGACACACGGAACAGGGGAGACATGCTGAACATCTTGGTTAGGTCTGCACGGAGACCCGAGAACATAAAGTTGGAAAGCAAAACATCCTTTTGCACCTCCCTGGCGATATTTTCCACAGTACCTGGGTTGGACAGGCCGAGGGCCGCCCTGCGCTCGGAGAACGAGGTGTATGTATCCTTGAGAGCCGCGACCACGGAATTGTCCGTCAGAAACGCAGGCGGTGCCAGATAGTCGGCCATTGTGAGTGTTGTAGCAGGTGCAAGACGAGGCGAGTGGAAACGTTGTCGGGATGAAGAGTTCGTGTGGTGAAACGCGGCGCTGCCAGGATGAAAGAATTTCAGATCAGCTCCGGGGTGAGTCTGGAGCGAAAGGAATTGGGCTGGAAGACTCAAGGATGGAGGAAAAGTCGGGCCTGGTCAAATCGAGACAGGAAGATGACAGAAGAGAAGCACCAAAGCTGTTGGGCAATGGCTGGTGATGAAGTCCTGAGCAGCTTCGGGGTCGCAGGTCAGCCCTGAAAAAAAGTCACCTGTTGCTCAAGCTTGCGCTTTAGGTCGCTCTGCATAGCCGCCGCCGCTCTTGCCTGCCTCGGGCTTTGCCGGGTGGGATCTTCTGTTTTCCCGAGATGATATAATGCCTCTCTACACATACAACAAAGCATGACCAGAGGTATCACCTTATTTGTCCAGTGATTTTGTTCTTGCTTATGTTTGGTGTGGCTCTATCTGTGTCTTTACAATCTGGTCTCTTAGTTTTATAAACCCGACTTTGCTCTGGAGCTCTTGACTCGAGACCCTGCCTTAGCACTCACTGCCTTGACCGGAACGGCATTTTGGACGTTGTTCGGAGATACCCTCACAACCAACGTTATCAGTCCCTGGTTGGCTCATTATCTCTCTCGTTTTTACCTTTTTCCAGATTCCTTCTTTCGAATAGACTTCAGTTTCAAACGCACTTGACTTACAGCTTACCTCCATCAACCTCTGACCACTGTCTATGACCATATTTCAGAGTTGTAGCATCAGGCGCCGCCGCCAGAATGGATACACTTTTGTAAGTCCTCAACACGAATATTATATGTTTTTATATGTTGTAAAATCGAGGACCTCTGCAATCTAACTCAGACCAGAACAGCGGACATTGTTGTCAATTCTCCTCGATTTCGGCGCAAGTCGTCGACGTTTGTCGACGCCATCCACGACTTGCCTGAAAAAGCCGACCTCGCCCCAGCCCAGCTTTACAGTACCGAGTCCGGTAGACTTTTCCACTCCGGCCGGATTGTCATTATCACTGTAGGGCTTCCCGCGAGGGGCAAAACGTTAGTCAAAACCATGTTTCCGTGCGTACCATAAGCCTAACTATTATGCAGGCACATGTCAGTAGCGATGGCACGGTATCTTCGATGGTGGGTTCCGTCGTCTGGCTATTCAATCCCTAGGCTAATTCATATGCAGGCTCGGAGTAAAGACCCGGATATTTCATCTGGGAGATTACCGACGAGCTACTATCCCCCATGGCCAGGATATTCCTGATGACTACTTCTTTGTAAATGGTACACTCATTTACCTTTTCTGCTATTCCAACTTGTCGTTAATTCTGCATAGCGTCTGCCTCTTCTGTCCTACTACGGCAGAAGATCGTGAAGCGGTGCCGGGAAGATATCTACCAGTTTCTAAACGAGGAAAATGGTCAGATAGCAATATACGACGCTGTGAATCCATCAGCTGCCGGACGGAGGTCCCTTGCCAATGAGTTTGCCAAACATGACATTGAGGTAAGTTTGGGTGTGTACCGAGAAGGTCGACTTACTCACACATTCAGACACTATTCATTGAATCATGGTGTGATGATCACCGCATCATCGAGGAGAATGTCCGGAGAGTAAAGATATCATCACCAGACGTGAGTAGCGTCCAAACTCATACCCACTGCGACCACTCACACAATCGTAGTATGTTGGATGGACTGCAGAAGATGCTGTGAAACACTATCTTGCTCGGATATCTGCCCGTATCCCCCAATTTCATACAATGGAAGAAAAGGATCTGAACTATATCAAAGTACCGGCTCCAAATCCCAACTCGTCTCTCATTCATTGCTAACATCAATCTAGATGATCAATGCAGGAGAAAGACTAATTGTCAACAACAAAAGCTTTGGTTATCTTTCGAATCGGATCGTTTTCTATCTTCTCAATCTACACATCAAATCTAGGCGCACATATTTTGCCCGGGTGAGTCGGACTGTTTTTGATCTGAATTCAAACCATGACTAATAGAATAGGCGGGCGTCTCGGTGGACGCGAATTCCTACAAGGCAGATGGGCCTCTGTCTGAAAAAGGTCAAGACTACGCTAGGAAGATGAGCGAAGCTCTGTTAAGAGATAGAGAGTCCGACAAGCAAGCAATCATTGAACAGGGGGAGACAGATTTTGAGCATAAGCCTCTGACCGTCTGGACTTCTACAAGACGACGAACGGTCGAGACTGCCAAGTTTCTGCATGAAAAGGGGTACAAAGTTCGACAGAGATCGCAACTGAGTCAATTGAATCCCGGTGTTTGCGAACTCAAATCAGAAAAGAGAATTCGAGAAGAGTACCCAGAAGAGGTGGCCAAGCATGATCTTGATCCCTATCATCACAGATATCCCCGTGCAGAGGTGAGCCTGAGCGAGGTTTTTTTTTTTTCGAAACCGACTGTGCAAGACTGACTGTGTAATAGTCATACCATGACCTTGCTGTGCGGCTTGAGCCTATCATCTTGGAACTTGAGCGTGAACAGAATGACCTACTCATCATCGCTCATGAGAGTGTTCTTAGAGTTTTGTACGGTTATTTGATGGCCTGTAATGCCGCAGACATTCCCTTTTTGGAATTCCCCCGCGATGAGATTATCGAGGTAGGTCTTGTGTCGCACTACTCAAAAAAGCACAAGGACTAAATTCCCAGATCATCCCCGAGAGTTACCAGAACGAGGCGCGCAGAATCCATATTCCTGATCTTCCAGAGGAGATCATTCCCGGCTCACCAGAAGATATCAAGATTCCAGTCCCGCCGAGCGGACTCAGCTCCCCGTCCGTGCAGGGAATAGGGACTCCCAGAGATGGTATGTCAACGCCGCAGGCTGGCACACGGACCCCTCGCGAGCCCGAGAGAATCTCTCAGCAACACGTTGAAGATGTGGTGTGACTTGCTTGCGCTGAGAGCCTTATAGAGACACCTGATGTGCATATTACTAGTATAGCTATCCTCCGTGTAGCGTAGATACGAATACAATGTTGTCCCCTTGTTGAATCTCATAATTTTCCTCACCCTCTAGCTCCCAGTCTGCGTCGTTGATGAGGACGAGGATCCCCGGTCGTCTGTTGTAGCATTTAATCAGGGCGTGCTATCTTTTACAGGCCAGGCAACCTACACATTGTCCTCTAGCACGAAGAGCTCCTTCCTTTGATCCTTCATCAGATTGTTTACCAGGTACTGCAGCAGATAGGAGATGTTGGGCCGGGTCCCATTGACCAGTTGAGCCGGCAGTGTCACTTTATGTTTGCGCTCGTTGCCAAAGAGTATCTCGAGACCACCTCTGCGGATGAATAGTAGATTAGCCAGCATTCATTAGCAAGGAGTATGGAATAGCAAGAGTAACGGAGGGGTGACAGTACGTGAACTCGACGGTAAACGCTATTGATTCTGACATGTTTCGCTGGATGTTTTGGAGATTTAGGCTCTAGGTTCAGGCAAAAGACCGCGACAGAGAGCAAACTAATATTTATATCGAAATATGTAAAGCGGAGCACCAGGGCGGGGAGGAAAAGAGGGGGGCCTGTCCTCCATCTTTTTTTTGCCCGTTATCGATAAGCCTCAGAAAAGTCGATTACACCCAACCTCCACCTCAAATGTAGACAGTTCCAAATTGCAAGAGCTCACACATCCTTCTCCCGCTATATTGACGTACCATTTATAACACCACCGCCTGCCTGCTTCATGGTCTCGATCACCGCAGAATACATCAGCGTCGGCGGGAACAGACACCCCGCCGCCGCAGACTGGGATATTCAGTCGGGCATCCTCGCCTACGGTGCGGATAACAATGTCGCCCTGTGGGATCCTCTTGTACGTTACTATCAAACGGCCGACTTGTGCAAAGCCTAACTCTATGCGTGTAGGATGAAACACAGCGCGGAGTCTATGCGGTGCTCGTGGGCCACTCTGAAAAGGTCAGCGTCGTCCGATTCTACACGTGTCCTACCACGGGGACGAAGCTTCTCCTGACTGGGTCTGTCGACTGTACTGTCCGGATATGGCGAGCCGAACCAACCGACTCACGGCGATTCACCCAGGCGGTTACGCTGACGGGGCACACGGGTTCAATTAATGCGATCGCGACGGCCGAGGGGTTAGACATTATTGCCTCAGGGGCCGCGGATGGAACGGTCAAGATATGGAGGATTGAAGTCGGGGAGGCTTTAAATGGTGAGCTATTGGAGAATCTACCCATGAAGCCGCGTTATTACTTCCCATTGGCATTGGCATTGGCGCCGCTTCCGACAGACAACACGCAAGACAGGCCCGTGGCGTTGGCAGTTGCTGGCACGACCAACATTGTGCAGATTTACGCCGCAGAGAACACGGTGGAGACGCCGAACTTTAGAGTATCAGCAACACTCTCTGGTCATGAGGCATGGGTACGGTCCCTCTCTTTTACGGCGGATATGCAAAGCAAAACCGGGGATCTCCTGCTCGCCTCTGCCAGCCAGGACAAATATGTTCGACTCTGGAGACTTAATCGAGGAGAGGCATCTTCATCCATATCGGTGCCAGCTGATGATGGCGACGACGAGGAGGTGCCCGTTCTGGGTGGACTTGTTGAACCGACATTGTCCAACAAGGCCCATCAATTCGAGACAGCGGGCGCCAAGTACTCCATGACCTTTGAAGCTCTCCTATTCGGAAATGAGGATTGGATCTATACCACCGCTTGGAACCCGAACCCTGAACGCCAGCAGCTTCTCACAGCGTCTGCGGACAATACTCTTACCATCTGGGAACAGGACCCAGTCTCTGGGGTGTGGCTTTCCGTGGAGAGAATGGGGGAGATAAGTGTGCAAAAGGGCTCCACTACAGCTACGGGGAGTACCGGTGGGTTCTGGATCGGCCTCTGGGCGCCAGATGGAGAACAAGTTGTAAGCCTTGGGCGCACGGGTAGTTGGAGGTCATGGAGACACGAGGCGGAGTCTGATATCTGGGTCCAGACCATGGGAATTACTGGACATGTGCGATCTGCCAATGGAATCCGATGGGAGCCTTCGGGAGGATACCTGTTATCGACCAGCGCGGACCAGACAACCCGACTTCATGCACAGTGGCTGCGGGAAGACGGGCAACAAAAAAAGACGTCGTGGCACGAATTCTCACGCCCGCAGATCCACGGTTATGATCTCAACTGCGTTGATACACTAGGACCCGGACGGTTCGTGTCAGGTGCCGAAGAGAAGCTTTTACGAGTGTTCAACGAACCCAAGCCTATCGCTCAACTGCTTGAGAGGCTCTCCGGGCTTACGCAATCCACAGAGGGCGAACTCCCAGACACAGCGCAAATCCCGGTCCTAGGCCTATCCAATCAAGCCGTTGGGGAAGACGTCCCTGTAGGAGATGGTGATACCCCCGAGGCCGAGAGCGCCGGACAAGCGCAGGCAAATCAAGCGATACTCTCCAACTCCACACGGCCCCCTCTCGAGGACCAGCTGGCTCGCTATACCTTGTGGCCAGAACACGAGAAGCTGTATGGCCATGGATACGAAATATCCGCCGTCGCGGTAAGTGGCGATCGCACGCTCATCGCAACGGCGTGCAAGGCCAGCTCGATCGACCATGCAGTGGTGCGTTTGTACGACACATCAGATTGGCACGAAGTCCGCCCGTCACTTGCAGCGCATACGTTGACCATCACAAGTCTCTCATTTTCAGCCGACGACCGATACTTGCTCAGTGTTGGCCGTGACCGGCAATGGGCCGTTTACCGTCGGACTCAAGAAGAGCCTTCTGTGTTTAAGCTCATGACGTCGAACCCCAGAGGTCACTCGCGCATGATCCTCGATGCGGACTGGGCACCTGCGTCAGACTCACAGCAAAAAAGTCAGATTTTCGCAACTGCCGGTCGAGACAAGTCGATCAAGCTGTGGCAGTTGACCGGGGAGTCAATTGAGTGCAAGGCTGCCATACCCGCAAGAAGCTCAGTCACGGCTGTCAAGTTCCTGCCCCACGCATATAATGGTGTCCTCTTCCTGGCAACGGGCGAGGATGATGGAAAGCTGTCAATTCATCAAATCAAGATGGACGGTGTAGAGCCGAGCCCGCTAGTGAGCTTTGACAGAGCCGAATCACCATCAAAGACGATTACTGAACTATCATGGCGCCCTTTTTCGCGAGTCAATGGCGAGGCGGAAGGAGCCGGGTTGTCATTTGAGCTCGCTGTGGCCAGTGAGGACACTTCGATACGTATATACAGCATCGCAGGGGTGGTATCGGAACCATAAACATGATGGCGTAAACGAAAGATAGAACGAAATCAGGCCAAAACAAAAACCACCCATACCAGACTCATGAATGTTGAAAAACTCCTAGATGATGTTGAACTCCTATATGATGTCGGAACCCCCATGCTATACCCTTCATTTTTGGTTGACAAAAGGTCATTGTTGAAAAAGCCGTCAATAAAGCGCACAAAACGACAGAAATATATGACAAGGGAGCAAGCAATTAGGCTCTCTCTTTATCATACTTTTCATAGCCGTAACCACCCAAACCTCCAGACTCGTAGGTCTTGGCTTCGGTAGCATTTCGCGGGCCTCTAGCTTGCAAGTCCTCCTTGAGCCACTTGAGCACAATCTCTCCCAGCTGGCTGTTCTCTGATGTTTCGGGAGCTTCGTTCTTGAACTTTTCAATAGGACCCCACTGCCTCACATTGCCCAGGTGCATATGTACCAAATGAGTCGGCCAATGCGCCAAATTGTCCAAAATATGTGTTGCATAGACGATTGTGCAAGGACGAGTCTCTGTTTCGCGCTTCAAGAAGGAGAGAAAGTTGCTCCGTGACAGTAGATCGAGATCAACAGTGATCTCATCGAGAAGAAGAACCTGCCAAGGGCGGAGAAGACCCATGGCTAGCTGGACGCGGCGGCGCTCTCCATCCGACACGGCATGCATGCGCCATCGAAGATCAATATCGAGGATTTTGACGAGCTCGTCGCGTCGTTCAGGGTACGCATTGCCGCCGACGGAAGCGAGGAGTGTTGGCACATCAATGTCGGTCCGGACGATGCTGTTGAGTACCCATTCGACACCGAGGTAGGTGACACCTTCAAGGCCTTCCTTGAAAGGGTCCTTGCCTGCAATGGAGATTGTGTTGCTAGGCGCAAGACGCTTTCCCGAGAGTAAACGGAGGAGGGTGGTTTTGCCGGCTCCGTTGGCTTAAAAAGTAGATGTTAGTATTCCCAACTTTGCAGACGCGGACAAGAAAATTATGATGATCAATTACCGCCAATGAGCAATGTCCGACTCCCTGCTGGTAGCTCCAAATTTACATCTGTGAGACCAGAAGACCCATCCGGAAACTTGTAGGATAGCTTTTGGGACTGGATGTTGGGGGAGTCGGACATGGTGGGAGGTTGCAATCTGAGTAAAAAAAAGCAGGAAGACCATTAGGACGAGGCTTTGACTATATAGCAGTGGGGTGACTCACATTATTTGCTTCTCCAAGCACGCAATGTAACTATCCAGAACTTGGCCTGGAGAGGAAGGTGACAACTGATAAGGTGGGGCTGAGTCAGGAAAGTTGTGATGAAATCACTTTTTCCCTTCTCCACCTTCCTCACAACCAGCTCCAGGCCTCATTAAAAATGCATCTTTGAGGGGAAGAACTGTATAATGCTGGGTCATTTTGCCCTTTTGTGTCTGCCATGTTCAAGCAGCTTACATCAATATTCTCGTTCAGACCACCCTTGACAATGCAAAGACCCCTTGTTGCCGTCGTTGGCGCCACAGGCACAGGCAAATCCAAGGTGAGTTATCTTCTCTAGCCCTCCTCAGCTTTCTGCGCGCTGCTGACAGACACAGTAAGCTTGCAGTTGATATCGCTTCCCGATATAATGGCGAAATCATCAACGGCGATGCGATGCAAATGTACCGCGGCTTGCCCATCATCACGAACCAGATCCCTGTCGAAGAACGCAACGGTATACCGCATCATCTGATAAGTTGCATCGATCTGGAGCAGGAGCCATGGCGGATCAACTTCTTTCGAACCGAATGTTTACGCCTTGTCGATGATATCTATGCGCGCGGGAAACTCCCAATCCTTGTTGGGGGCACACATTACTATACCCAGTCAGTGTTGTTCCAGGATCAACTGGTGGAAAAGGAGTCGGTATCATCGGATGACGAAAGCGAGTTGTGTCCAGCAGAGGATGTCGACTCCGCGGTAAAGTGGCCTATTCTCGATGCGGAGCCGGAGGTGGTTATGGAGAAATTGCGAGAGGTCGATCCTGCCATGGCGGACCGTTGGCATCCGAAAGATACGCGCAAGATTCGACGGTCATTGGAAATCTTCTTTCAGACAGGCAGGCCGGCCTCACAAGTGTATGCTGAGCAACGGTGGTTGAAGCAAGCCGCCAGGGAGAATAATAGTTCTGCCCCTGGCCCTGGACAGCTTCGGTGCAATACCATCATATTCTGGGTCCACTCAGAAAAGTCTATCCTAAATGAGCGTTTGAATAAACGTGTGGATGTCATGGTTGAACAAGGACTAATGTCCGAAGCAAGAACCATGTCGGACTATATTCGGGAGAAAGCTGCTCAGGGGGTTACCGTGGACCAGACACGAGGTGTATGGATTTCCATTGGTTTCAAAGAACTGGCGCCGTATCTTGAAGCACTCGATAATGGGTCTTTGGATGAAAAGAAACTGGAAGCCCTCAAACAGGAATGTATCGAGCGAGTCAAGACTGCCACACGTCAGTATGGAGGGTCACAAGTTAAGTGGATCCGCAATAAATTATGGACTGCACTTGCAGATGCAGGGATGGTCAACCGACTTTATCTATTGGATAGCACCGACGTTGAGAAGTGGATGGAAAACATTACCGAACCGTCAGACCGTCTTGTCGCGGCGCTATTAAAACACGAGCCCCTTCCTGACCCCAAGTCGCTCTCGGAGCTGGCAAGAAGGACCCTAGAGGCAAAGGAAGCAGAGCCAGCACCAGTGGATCCAAGCACCGCAAAAACCATTACCTGTGATGTTTGCCGCAGAATATTAACAAACGAGAGGGAATGGAACATCCATATCCACGGAGGTGCTCATAAAAGGGCTGTCAGGAGTCAAGCAAGAAGGGCAGCACGGGATGCGTATCTACTACAGAAACGACAAGAAAGTCCACAAAGTGGCCACGCAGTTTCACAGGACGGTTCTAGTCCATTCTGACTAAACAGTTGCCTTCCGATGTGTTGGATTGATAGAAGATAAAATAGATTTAATCTTCAAGAGATATACTGTATATATATCCCTTGATCATTGGATATGGCGATGCCTTCCAAGCCGTCCCTTTCATGGTGCAAACCCATCAGTCGAGCACCCCGGTCTCGATAATAGGCGTAGCTTCATCGTGTTTATGTAGCAGGCTCCGTAGAGGTGACAGCCGGCTTGATCACGCAATTAGCAGAGTCTCGGAGGCAGCCTTCCTTGCGTTCGCCCGTCGGCTAACGGGAGAAAGGGGCCGCCAAAAAAAGAGGATGATAAGCTGAGTCGTCCACAAAACAAACGACACCTCACGTCTTCGTTCGCCAGGCTAAAAAGGCCTCTGAAAGGATATCGCCGGTACCAGTTTCTTCCACCTTGAAGGCCTCGATTGCAGATGACTTTTCTGCTTTCCTAAGTCTCCAGGTTCCTCCTTCCTCGATTGCAGTTTTGAGCCCTAGAAAAAAAAAGACCATGATGATTAGGGCCAAAGCCAGTCCGACTGGGCGAGGATCGGGGCAACTTACATTCTAGAAAAGCGGCAGCAAAATTGATGCATATATTGCCGTCCCAGGTCCCTCGTCCTGATTTTTTTACTGTGCTCGGTATTTTAGCTGTCTCGACCTCCTCTAGACGCCGCACAATACCTTCCTGGTCACGGAATCCGACAACGATCCTTGGGACACCGAGGAGGAATGACTGAGCCCAGAACTTTAAGAGTTTTCGCTCATACTTGAGCATGTCCCTGTCATTTCTGATCTCGGCGGAAGTTTTGAGTTCCACCCAGTTGATAGGGTCCTCCTTGCGATCCGGCTTCGAATCCCAAACTACATTCGTGAGCTGATGAGTAAGTGGCTACTTGGAAATCAGAAAATGGATGGCTTACTGGCGTCTACTTCTCCACCAAGAACGAGTCTTGAACGTCCGATTCCTGTACGGGCGACTGAGCAATATTGGGCATTGTTGTTCACAACAAGATCTTCGCGGCCTTCGATTTCACTTCTGGTTGCCTCGTCCCAGGTCTTGTCCAGAACTGATATTGTCTCGAACTTGTAGCCTAAAAAAATGTATTAGTACGAAGCAGCGTATTTACTCCATCTTGAGTTAGAAGAACGAACCCCAATATGCCATTAGCTCTTGAGAGGCCATGCCTGGAGGCATTCGCTGATTCCTCTGGATTTGTTTCTGCTCGTTCTTGTAGGCATTATTCTCTTCGATAAAGCTGCGCATGATCATTCAGTACTCATTTTCATCCTCGTGGATGATCAGAACGTACGCACATTGTTCCCTATAGTCTGTTGTTAGCCACAAGTCAAGTCTACTACAACCTCTGCTAGCGCGAGTTTACCTGAAAGCAAGTCGCGTTCATCTCAAAGCTAAACACACCATTAGCGAGCAATTTCTTGATAGTGGATAGAAGCCGCACCCATTCATAGTATCAAATGGCGCGGTCAGAATCTATAATCAGAGGGCTTAGTGTTTAGCCAAGCGATAGGAATTTGGCTGCACAGCTTACCTTGGTCATCATGCCACGCCATGTGATGATATCAGCTTCGCATCGCTTTTCCGTGTCCCTTTCTAGAGCAACTACGGTGTCCAACAGAGCATCCAAGTGCTCGTCGGCTGCATCATTCAGTTTTTGAAACGTGTCGAAGCCTCGGTTCAGGTCCGCTGGTAGCTGCGGAGGGTAGTAGTACCGTAGGGATGAGTCCCCAAGGCGAAAATTATGCTGATCATCGTAGGAAAAGCACGCAATTTCCTGGTTTTGGCATCGTTACTTTTTGTCCGGACATGTATGTTGGGAACCCAGCTGCATATATCACGTACCTTGGGTCGTCGAATCGCAGCACTGGATCCATAGAAACGGCCAATAGGCTGGATATCAAAGACCCTTCGGTTCATCGCCTGGAGCTCGGCTTATGGCCTGGATATGCAGAAGGGCGTCGGTTCACCAAGCTTGAGTTTCTAGTACTTGACTGGCCGAGTGAAATGAGAAAAGGAGTGAACTTGAAATATGGATGGGATCTTAGTCGTTCTGCCGCTCTTCTGGAAGATACCGAATCGGGACAGCACAAGTCCGCGTCCCCACCAAAAGCTGTCCAACGCAACCAGTTTCAAGGACCATTATTATCTTCCTGTCAACTCCCCAGCTAAATTCTCCGCCTTGCATATCCACTCTTGGACATATGCTTTATTAGCTGCTTAATTCACATCACGTTCAGTTTCAGTGTAGATTGGATCAACCCCCCCCTTGTGGTGATTGTTGGACACAATGACCTCACGAATCGACAAGACAATTGCCCGACAACGAGAAAAGTAAACCATCTGCTTCCCCCCTTCCCCCACACCCC